AGATCGTGGTTGATGATGTACATTGCATTCACCTGGCACAAAGGCAGTGCAGAGAAGTGCAGTGCTTCATTCAACAGCTCCCGTCAACACTTTGGCTTGCTCCGTGACTGACATTGATGGGCTTCAGAGGAAGGTAATACTCTCTCTTCATTTGAGCATGAGCTGCTGAGCAACTTTTTTTTTTCCTCTGGACCGGGTGTGGTCCAGTGGATGTGCAGTAATTATCAGCTGCACACTCAACGGTGTTGATTTCACTATGTAACACAATTTTTGTTCCTGGGTAGTATTATTTCGTAATTGCTTATGGCTAAAAAGTATAGAAAATGGCTATTATTCCCCACAAACTTTGCTTTTGTGACCAGGACAGTGATATTTTGAAATGTACCTATTTTCCAGAACATTTACGGTAGATTCAGTGCTGAGTAAACTTGGAGTAACTTCCAGAACATTTTAGAGCTTTCCAGTAATATAAATAGTAGTATAAATACAGGGGCCTTAAGCCCACCAGTTCAGTTTAGTTCCAGCTGCCTAAGTGGATACATATCTGCATTTTTCTGAGATGACATTTAGAGGCTGCAAGCATCCGGCAGTCGCATTTTGCTATGTCTGGCCAATTTATCAAGACAAGAGCGAAAAAGTACTCTGTGGAAGCATCTGCTAAGATGTGTGAGGCCTACAAGGTATATTTGGGCATGCCTATTGGCAATCAAGACAAACCCTGTGCACCTCATTTCACTTGCGAGCAATGCAAAAAAAAACTCTGGTAGGTAAGATGGACAATTTTCGCTCGGAATTTTATGTTATAAAGTTTGTGGGGAATAATAGCCATTTTTTTGTACTTTTGAGGCATAAGCAATTAGGAAATAACACTACCCAGGATCAACAACAAAAATTGTTACACACTGTTTTCAAAGTTGCGTGCACCAGCTTTCTTTCTGTCCGAGCATGACCCGCCATGTGACAGTCGCGGTCCATTTCTCTGCACGGACCAGTGCGGGGGCGGATGGTTTTGAGTGTACGGTTTCTCATGGGAAGAACGCGACTCCTGTATGCGTGAATGTTCAGCAGACAGCAGGGCCAGACCTCAGTGCTGTCTGCATCGCAGGTGATTAATTCTTGTGCACGATAATCCCCGTTTGCGCCGGTCTGCGGGCACGATACCATCGAAAGGCCGAAAATCCTCCTAGAAATTTGTGTAAGATTTGACTTTGATAAATGGGGCCTGTCGCCCAGCTGGATGAGAGCTTTGTTCAACGTCTCGTGTACAGTGGGAGCAGAAAAGAATTCCTTACACTGCAGACGAGGCATGACCCCATGAAGCGGGTGTTGACGATTAACCCCACATCACCACCACCACCACCGCCGCCTACCTCCTATCGTGCTGAATAAGAAGTTATATTCCCTAAGTGTGCTCTCTCAGCTCACTCAGCAGGGATGATGAGGTTACCTTTTGGGCCCCCCCGCGTGTTGTGAAGGGAGTTTATTTTTTACGCCCCGTAGTGATGCGGGTAAAGTGAGGTGAACCAAGTTACGGGGTGAGATCTGCACATGGCAGCTTTTAACTCTCGATTTTACTTGCATCACTTTTAGCTCTTGACTCTGGGCAGGTGCTAAATTACTTGGTGCGTGATGCAGAGGGCGCTCAAGTTAAAAGGGAAAAAAGTCACGTACAGCTCAAATTTTCAGCCAAAATAAACATTCTTAATCCGTGCTTAGCCCAAGATCATATCGCCGCGTGTATGTGCCCCGATCTCATCAGATCTCCGAAGCTAAGCAGAGTTGAGAGTGGATGGCGACTTTTGGATGGGCGGCCACTGTGCATAACAGTTGTTATAGGCTCTGGGGCAACGTTGTGGGGCAGCAGAGGCCAGTGCAGCAGAGGCCAGTGTAGCAATATCCATTGTACTTTATGGTACTTCTAATATTTGTTTTCCACCGTTAACCCACTGACTAGTGTGATGAAGTATGGTAAATTACCACCGTGCAGTGCTATCTATGCTGTATACTGTTAATGTATATACCTATAAACAAGCAAGTGAAAGTGTCGAGTCGTACTCAAATTGTAAATGTTGTGGGTTTACGTTCCAACACACCTGTGTGCTGAACTAGTAACGAATTGACACGTTTTTTTACGCGACAAACCTTACTAATTGGCTGTATCGGTTGGTGGCGGGTTTGACCACACATTTATATTTACACGATCTAACTCCAAAAAAACGAACCTCTCATGTACACTACCTGATGTTTTCATTCAAGTCACACTGCGTCCATACACGGCTTCTCTTTCACCGTGGGGCTGAACAATAGCCCAGTGTGCAGATATTTCTGCAGTTGTCACTGCCCACATTTCTTTCTCAGAACGTTTTAAAAAAAAATTTGCACTCGAACCTCCTGCTGAAAAGTACACTTTGAAAAGTGAATCTCCTGTGGAGCGTTGTTCATATATTCTGCAAAATAAACATTAAGTTCTGCAAAAGGAGCTGGGTAAGTGTGTGCCAAGTTCTTGGCTGTGAAGAGTAATCTCTTTAATCATATAGAAGAGCTCACGAAACTATGTCTGTTAAGGTAACTGAATAAAAGCTTATTTTGGTTTTCATGAGCTACTTGCATACCTCCTTGTTGGTGAAAGAATCCACAATTCTGCAGATAACCGTTGGGTCACATTCCACGCAAGAATGCGCTGAGATGCAGACGTTCTTAATTGCACGTACAATTCATATATTTGTTTATGAAAGCAGCATTTGAAAGTTGTGTTCGAAGGCTTTGCAATGCAAATGTGTATACAGGTAAACTAAAACACGATTTTTTTTGCGTTAGATCGCGTGAATATATTTAAATGTGTCGTTAAACCCGCCACCACCCGACACAGCCAATTATTAAGGTTTGTCACGAAACAGAAAATGCCAATTCGTTACTAGTACAGCACACCGGTGTGTTGAAGAGCAAAGCCACAACATTTCCAATCGAAATATGATTGATATTGGTCGCGAAAGCCTCCGTGTTAAACTAAACACACGAGTACAGCGATTGCCATCAACATCATTGTTGACTCGTCACATCATGCTTGTTGTTTTGGTCAGGTCGATTATTGTACATAAATAAAATGCTCTGTGCTTCCCGGCATCTGTCAGGCAGCCGTTGAGCTTCGGAAACTCAGCTATGCTGCACAGGGAAACCCTATCGGCTGCCAAGTGGCCTCACTCCCGTTATCGCGGTTTTTTTCTTTTCAAAGTGGAGTTTTTCCCCACTTACTTAATTTTTTCTTCTATGTCTTGACATGACTGGAACTGGGCAGAATCCCAAAGCCCTGTTTTAGCGTGAACCCAAATGTTTAGTTTTTAACGAGACGTTTGCTTATTTAATCTTCCTCATTACGTGTAATTATATCTAGCAATTTAAACATTTGCAGGTAAGTCTGTATATAGTAGTACAGTATTTCTACATTGTTGTGTATATGTAGTACAAGCCAGTACCAACCCGTTCTATGGACGGGGTGATTTAAATAAATAAAAAGTTATATCCTTCATAAAAACGGCATGGCATGAGCGATCTGAAGCCTCTTCCTCCACCAACCAGTCGGTTACTTTTAACATTCAGTGCAAAAACTGTTTTGTCCTCCAGGCAACGCCACCACATATCACAGTTAGCGGTCAGTTTTTTTTGTAACCTAGGTTTAAGGTCATAGGTCATAGTTCATCATTAATAACGTGCGTTCCTTGTTCCTTCCAGTAAAAACGAGCCATCACTGATTGACAGCCTGATGGATTTGTTTAAATTATATGTACTGCATGGATGTACTGCATGTTTCAGATGAATTGTTTGTTCTTTTTACCAATAATGCTTCACGAGTGCCCATTAAGGTGTTGTACAATGTTGTTTTTGGAGCTGATGGCCCACGGGTATAGAGAAAGAGAGAGAGAGAGAAATCACCGAGCGCATCTGCTAAACTCGCGGTATTTGTTTCGGACACCCAAACTTATTGATAAGCCCCAGAATGGCAAAAGCAGTCCAAAGTTTGCACGCTTGAATAAATAGTCTGGAAAGCCGGGTAGGCCGAGAGAATGGAAAAACGTTGGTTCTTTTTTTCTATGTTGTCTGGTTCATATTGATTCACGGTATGCTCCATTGAATTCATGTAGAGCCTGCTGTATTTCAGTCTGACAGGTTGGCTGTAAAGTAGGCAAGTTGAACGCCATCCGATGTGTCGGTATTTGTTTAATGGGAGACAGCCTGGGGACGAGACAAGATACATATAAACCTGTCGAGTGTTTGCCTACTGAAACAAATTCTAGATCTAAAACATCGATCTAGATGGCCCCAACCATACACTGATGGATCAAAATGTAATTTTCTCTTGCGATTGTGAAACAGACCCTCGTCTGTTTGTTCACCAATACCATTGTGCGTTCTTGTTTGTGCACTCCCAAGGCCACCTCTCCAGTGGGCTGGCCATACAGGCACGCTACTTTACCTGGTGTGGCCCTCCCAAGGCCAGTTTCCATAGCCACAGAGAATGCAACGAGCACCACCGTGGGCTGTGGAGATAGCAGCAGCGCCGTCGCACCACCACACAGAACTGTTTCTCCCCTCCTGCCCCCCCCCCACACACATTCTCATTCCGTAGCCAAGTCGCCGCCAGAAGACGAGATTTCCGGTGCGGTGGCGTTTATGGCACGTCTCGTCGCTCGCACTCACGGTGAAGGTGGCGCCGGCGCCGTGGGTTTCTGCACCCACCCCCATCCCCGCCACCTCCTCGTAATCCCTGGATACTCGCGTCGGCCTGACAGGGGCTCGGAGATATGGGCTCGGCAGGGGGGACGCCGAGGCATGTTAGGGCGTGCAGGGCCCACATGAATGCACACTGGCTGCCCAGTGGAGCAGGCACTCCATGCTGTAAGTTACTCTGGGAACGCCGTTATCACTTGGCTTTCACCTAGCAACTAGCTCACACCGGGCTGCCGACGTGGATTGAAGACGTACATTTGTGAATTAGTTCCGTCAATTGTTTTATTTCAACGTTGAGGCCAGGAGAAGATTCATGTTGTCCAGTCATCAGTTTGATTGCGGCAATGGCCAATTACAGAATGAGGGAAATCAGACGCGCGTTCCAAAATGTAATGAATCGCCCGCGACCGTCAATAACTGTGCATAAAAATACTGTACGCTTGAAGCCATGACATAATTCATAAAATTAAGTGCTGTAAGAGCCAACCGCTTGGTGTAAACAGCTTTTAAATAGAACATTTTTGCACCACTTAATTTTACATTGGGCTGTCGGGAAACTTCAGTGTCTCAAATAAACTACAGCACGTGGAACTGAGAGTACAGTGATATTGCATCCTACGGGCTGCAATGCAGTTGTGTGTCTATTTGTGGGCTGGCAGGAGGAGAGAGGCTCGGAGTGTCGGTTGTATCCACGTGTAAGTGGATCCTGGCCCAGGAATTCCTGTCCATCCCTGCCCACGACAGGCCTTGGTGTGTCAGCTACTGTGCCTCGGTGGCGAGATGTTAACTACCTCGCCTGATATGCAGGAGGACGTGGGTTCGTTACCCTTTGGAGTTTGCATGTTCTCCCCGTGGCCGTGTGGATTTTTCTCCGGGTCCTCCGGCTTTTCCCTCCACATTTAGAATCAACGTGCATTTTTAGTATTTGGCTGCGATACCTTTCCACGTGATGAGCCACCTTGCTGAGCTAACTGAAAAAGATCTGTATAGCTCAGTGGGTTTTACCGGGTAAAAAAAATAAGTTTAAATAGTTTACTGTGTCGCAGCGCATGCACACGTCGTCGGCGTGGTGTGAATCACGTAAAAGAACACGAGCAATCGGGGGGCGAAAGAGGAGCCATTTAAAATACTGCTTCAGGAAAGTTTCCTCCCATTTTTTTAATTAGCAAAAGTTATTTATTGCCGTGAGGCGTGAAGGAGACAAAGATGGGGGACTGTAAGGAAAGAGAGAAAGCTGATGGTAAATCATTGAAGAGGAAATTAAAAAGGCAGAGTTATGCGGATGACTCCATGTGAAGCCGCCGTGATATCAGAATCTGAATATTTATTTGTTCTGAAGGAAATATTTGCCCCCATTATTTTCTTTGGCTACAATCTCATATGGATGGCCAAAAATGCCGAAAATCTCTCACCTGGGCTACATTCATGTCTTTGCTTCTGTTCTTTTCCCCAATTATATTTTATTTGCGATATTGGGTCTTTCAATGAGACAAAGGCAATTTTGTTTGAAACGTTTACCGAAAGCAATTCATCATGCCCTGGTAGAGAATAGTCTCTAGAAAGTGACATGACAGAACAACACAGATATCCTCATTTCTACTACATGGCAATCAAACTGAACATTTCTAATTATTACAACTATAATAAGCTTCATTAAGTTAAAACCACCAATATGAGACTATGTACACTGTATAATTACACAGGCAGTATTTTAATTACAGGCAACTAATACACATTCGACCCAGGATCTGAGCAGTGGAGCTCAGTGATTCGGTATGGTGTTGTTCCACCCCGAGCCACTTCACTGCTTTCATGTTAACTCTTATTTATTATTACAGCTTGGATCGTGCTGTTGTTGCTGGCTCATTCATGGTTTGAGCCTTTGGAACCCCTGCTCAGGAACTTCATTTAAACAAGAACATTTTTTATCCCTCGGGCCGACAGTCAGCTAAAAAGGCCAGACAGCACAAGCTTGAACGATGGCTTCGTGGCGGCGGCGGCGGTAGTGGCGGTGGCGGCGGAATCGGAGTGTTGCGCGCGGTCCGGTTCCACCAGCCTCAGGGGCGCCGTGTTGCGCTGCTCCCGACAGCTGTGTGGGTTGAGCGCCGGGTAGAGCGGCTCGAGGAAGCGGGCGTGGAACGCGTGGAGCAGGGCCATGCTGGCGGCGTCGAAGAACGCCAGCGTCCCCGCCCCCTCGACGAGCAGCACGCCAACGACGGTGGGCTTGGGTACGGCGAGCGCCAGCGGCGGTTCGGCCACGCCGCCGTGCCACGCCGTGTAGACGCCGTTGTGCAGCTCCAGCGCCCACGAGCCGGAGTTGCGGCCCAGCCGGCTGCAGTCGACGCGTGGCACCGATGCGTACGCCATGCCCACCTGATGGGACCCCGTGGTCGTGAGAGGTTATCTCCCTGGCCTGCTGGTGTGCAGGAGGTCGTGGGTTGGATCCGGACCCTGACACCTGCTGCATGCTATTCCCATCGTCGCGTGGATTTTTCTCCGGGTCCTCTGGTTTTTCCCTCCACATTTGGAAACATGCATTTATGGTATTTGGCTGCTATACATTTCCACGTGATAAGCGACTTCGTTGAGCTATCATTTGTGGCCAGGTCACTTCTGAAAAAGAGCTAACAACTCAGGGGGCTTTACCTGGTAAAAAAATTTGTTTAGTTTCACATTCGTATTAAAAGCATTTAAGGCAAGGCCTACGAAATTGAGGACGTCATCGTTATCATCATCAGCCTTGATCTATCCATGGCTGGATTAAGGACTCCCCTCACCTGTCGATCACGGGGGTTGTTCGACCATACTTCACTGCTTAGAAGTGTTTCATATGTTACTCAGCACACGTGTTGGCCATGCCCAGGAATTACACTCACTAGCTCACTCTTTTGACATCACCGCTTGGACATTTTATCGTCTTCACTAAAGTGACACATTGGAGCAACTGACTCTTCATGCTTACTCTTTGGTTCTTTCGGTAAAGTCACGTAGGTATAAAATAACATAAATTAAATCACGACGTTTCGATTGCAACACAAACAATCATCATCAGGTGGGAAAACTACAGCAAGAAAATGTTTTTGCTGAAGTGGGAGAGAGATGCCGAGGTCAGAGGTTATATAGGTAAGAGAGGGGGGAGGGGCAATGGAGGGGGGTAGGGGGAGGGGGGAGCGTTGCGTGGACGCTCGGAGAGGGAAAGGGACGTGAAGCAAGAGTATGGATCCCTGCAGTCACGAAAACTTCAAATCTAGATTGACTCTTGATGCTTAAAGCTGTTTCTCATTAATGAGGCTCCACAGCATGTGCCTCGACCATCGCCTGGACACGCGGACTGAGAAACGAATGAACGAATATAGCACGTGCTTGGGTAGCCCATAACATGCAACCTAGGTATGTAATCTACAGCATGTGAGATGCATTGTTTTGGATAGCTTCTTTGGAATTTCTCTTACTTGTTACAGCTATCGTGCTGTGACGGTTCCACCTGAAGACGGAGGCTTGTGTTGCCTCCGAAACGTCGTGATTTTTATTTTATTTTTTATTTTACTTTTATTAATTTAATTTTTTTACCTACGTGACTTTACCTAAAAAAACCTAAGAATATGAATCCTTGCAGTCACGAAAGCTTCAAATCTAGAATTAGCTTTTTTGAGTGGATACAGTGGCAAGCCTGAGTGTATTCATAAACAGGTCCGGTTTTGTTCTGTTAGCCATTGTCAGCCAATTGTTGGCATTTTGAGATCACACTCGGTTATGGGTCTCCCAGAGGCTACTGGTTTTTGCTTGTTCCAGGAAGGATTTACGGGGGTTGCTTTGGGCACTCACTGTCACAAGTCTATGAGGCGCTTGTCTACGGCATAGCCGCCCTTGAAATTATTGATTTCATTCTTAGTCATTAATGGTCCCTATGCATGCTTCGTATGACTCTCTAAACCTTGGACATTACCACTGAACTCAAATAATTCTAAACACGCCTCAGCCTGACTGTGAGCCTCAAACATTATCACTGCCATACTTTTGGGTTTTGTGTGTTATTCGTTGTAGAAACACAAGCAAAAATGAAAATATTAATGACGAAACATCTGCCGTGTTTGTGAAATGATAGCTCTCGCTTGCCGTTGACTCTACGAGTGCAGCTTAATGTTTCCCATCAGAATTTCAGGAGCCTAATATCATATCCGTTTTAAGAAAGAGATATGTCCATCAGATTATTTTTGTCTTTTATTGGCCGCAACCACCACCACCATCATCAGATGTCACCTCTCAGTTGGATGAAAGCCACACCGTTTTGGTGCAAGCTCCTATTCCATGCAGTAGCATTCCATTTTGCTTACATTATTATTTTCCCCCAAATGGAACTTCCTTCAGAAAAAGTCTTCCCGCTGCCTAGTTTTTTTTTCCATAAGGGATCGGAACAATAAGATACTAAGATTTTGGGTTTGAATCCAGTCACAAATTACTGCATTAATCAGTTGTTTTTATACTTGAGTCCTTTAAATTCCAGTTTTGAGAATATGAAAATGTTTGTCTGACTGCCTTGCAATGAACATTTCCTTTTGTGGCTGTGCTCTTCCCAGTTTGAGGATAAAAAGGGCCATGTCAAGGACTTTCAGAAGTTAACTAACAGCCTTCCGTAAGCCATTCTTTGCGAAGGAGCAATGCATTCTTTGAGAGTTCCAAATGGACACCTCATTACACCAATAGCATGATAGCAGCGTTGTGGAATGGTTTACTTACTGAGGATTAGAACCTTTGGTGTACCACATTAACACACGCTTCAGTCACATTTGTGACAAAAGTGACTGCTCCCACTAAAATTATAAACGGAGTTACCAGATTGAAAGTATTGCCCTCTCGTGCCCAATTAGTGTTGCTCAGATGCGTTAATTCATTGAAAAATATTGTTTGCGGCTCGTTTCAAGGTGGTAGACTTCATGGGTCCAGGCGCTGTATGAAATGCATGTTTCGGGCATATGAAAATAACTGGCGGCCTATTGAACTAAAGATGCAGGCCTTATGATATGGAGATGCTGGTCTTATAAAATGAAAGTTGCGGGCTGTGTCCAGCCCGTGGGTTTGTAATATCCCCACCCCCTGTACTTATTGAAGTCGATTTGGCAAAAAAGAAAAAAAGCGAAATACTCAACACCGACCGCACGGAACGGCTGCGCAGTGTGATGCTCACCGTCCAGCCGGTCTTGCCGGCGACGACCACCTCCCAGTAGCAGCAGCCACGGTGGGTGAGGGCGGGCAGGCCACGGCACGCCAGCACGTTGAGGGTGGAGAGGAAGCGGCCCGGTTCCTCGGGCACGTCTCGGCGCCTCCGCACGCACCGCACCTCCGCGCCGTCCGCAGAGATCTCCAGGTTGGGGTGCGCCGTCTCGGGGTCAAGAGTCACCTCCGTTAGCTCTGCCAAAGATGATGCCCTTTGTATGTAAATGCTTGTCGTTTTGTAACCAGATCACCTGGAGTGCGCCCGATCTTGTCAGATTGTACGTACGCATGTTGAACTTCTTTTGCACCGTACGTAGCCAACCGTGCTAATGGGAGTGGCGCAAGCTGAGCAGGGTTTGAGCCAAAATTCATTTTTCTATATTCTTGGTTCTTTTGGTAAAGTCACGTAGAAAGGAAATAATAAAATAATATAAATATAAAACAATAAAAATTATTGCTGTGGATTTCACACCTGATGATGATTGCTTGTGTTGCAGTCGAAACGTCGTGAGAATTTTTATTGTTTTATTTTTATATTATTTTATTATTTCCCTTCTACGTGACTTTACCGAAAGAACCAAGAATATGAATCCCTGCAGTCACGAAAGCTTTAAATCAAAACCAAAATTCATTGTTGTACTGTTACTTCTATGCTCACACATCGGTGCTGCTCACCACCAATCCACACTGAAGCAGCATGGTGCAATGATTGCACCCGTCATGGATGCCAAAGAGCATCATGTGTTTGTCTGCTCCAGGAAATTTTGGGCATAACTTCAAACTCGAGGGATGAATAGCTCACATACCTGAAGCTCTCTCATACTTGGAAAGCACCTGAAGGTTTTTTTTTCTTCCTCTCACAGTCGTTCCAGCTGCCTTCACAGCCCTTACCTTCCACCCCTTGTTGTCCAAACGCCTTTTTGAACTTGGCCACCACTGCCCAAGGTGGTCACTGTGACCCGGGGGAGAGACTGGTCATTCAGCTTCGCAACACTCAGCATCGTCAGAGAATAGAATGTACAACGGTTACGGGACTCACTTGGTTCAAATGCCTTGAGCAGTTTTGAGATTTTCGCTTCAGATTCGAACACCGCCTGCAGTCCGTTGTTTGGACTCTGCGTGATGTCAGGTGGTTCTTTTTCCGCGCCTTTCAAGCTGAAAGGTAACATGAGCCGAAGTAAAAAAAAAAGTGGCTTACAACGCTGATGAAAGTTGATGTCTGTTGCAGAACAAAGTGGAAGTAAACAAAATATAAATAAACAGGCCGAAAGTCGGTCGCTACATGTAAAATTAAAATATTAATTCCATCAAAGCATGGGACTCAAACGGTGGAATCTAGTTTGTAACCTCTTCGACTTATTCAGTCTCGTCAGCAGATTTAGGTGGCCTGGATAGCATTAGTCTGGAAGACCCATTGGCTAATGGCCAAAAAATAATGTTTTACGGAGAGACAGCATTTGTGTGTTTATTTATTTATAGTCTGCATTAGCCACGATCCTTCATTATGGTGTATCATGATTTACAAGTAGAATTTTTATCTATAAATTTCAGCCTTTTATCAATCCAACGCGGGATGAAGACCTCCGCACAATGATTCGGTCACGGGGGTTATTTCACCTTGCTTCACCATGCTGGTTAGTCCACGTTGGTGATCTGTAAGTGGCAGGATCTTAAACTATTTCAGAGATCACTTGCCACTGATGTTAGCCATGACCAAGAGTTGAAATCGGGTCGTCGGGTTTGTAGGGTTTGGCTCTAACCCACTGCACCCCCCCTGAGTTTGCAAATAAACTACACAATTCTACCGATGACAGACGGCGCATTGGGGCCGCGTGATCGTTACGAATCACAAACCTAGATCAACAAGAGCAACGTCTGTTTAAGCCAGGTCAATTTTCCACTTGCCATCATCTTAACGGGGCAACGTAAGACAGACGTGACTTGACCTGGGCACCAGGAGGGGGTGGCAATGAGCTGGAGAGGACAGCTGTTAGGACTGCCCAGCTGGCAATGCTCGTGGCGTGATGGCCGGGTGTCGAAAGAGGAAAATTGGGTAACTCTGACACCGTGCGATGCGACGGCGTCAACAGAAACCGGGCGCCGGCCGACCGGAGGAGAGGAATGGGGGGGCTGCCCAATGGCGACGGGGGGGGGGGGCGAGGGGGTGCCTGGTGCATGAATAAGTCGAGCAGAGGTTGTCTTCGACCGAAGTGCAAAATGTTTACCAACACTTGGTTCACAGGGGGGATATTTGCATTAAAAAGCTGTCCCAACATATGGACCCCCAGGAAGCTTTTGTATAGCAGCAGTACAAACAGGAAGGCGGGGGGTTGAATAAATAAAAGAACATGGCTTACCTTTCTTGGATAGCCTTGAATGCCTGTCAAATACACACACAGAGATTAGATTTTATGTTTAGGTCCTAAAGCAATATGTTTGGTTGAGCACAAGTGGCAGTCCAAGTGCAGTAGGTTATTGTTTTTTTTTTTAAATGATAAGCAGTTCACTTAGTTCTATTGCATGGCATAGATGTGTTTCCAACATTGCAGAGAGCATCCAGACAAGACAAATGACTGGTTGGTACTCCTGATACATTTGTAGTGACATCGCGGGATGTCACTGTGCAGTGCCGGCCCTAGAGAGGCACGGCGTGCGGTGTAACGGCATCGCGGACACCACGAGGGTGTGGGTGTAGTACCGGCCCTAGAGGGGCCCGGTGAGTGCTGATGGATAGCGCTGGATGGCACCATGCCAGAGGTCGCAACCGGGTACCCGATACCCGTACCCTACCCGATACCCGGCTACCCGTACCCGGCTGGGTACGGGTAGGCCGTGAGTCACTGGTGAGTAACCGTTTGTCACTCATTTCCCAACGTCTTGTCTCTTCTCACAATTCAAGTTCTTAGAATCAACCCACCCGCGCCTGCAACTAGGCTTCATCCCAGAGGTCGCAATCGGGTACCCGTACCCGTACCCTACCCGATACCCGGCTGGGTACGGGTAGCCGGGTATCGGGTAGGGTACGGGTACCCGTTTGCGACCCTGGTGCGGCCGGGTACGGGTAAGGAATCAAAACCCGTTTGCGACCTCTGCACCATGCTTGGCGTGCAGTCCCAACCCTACAGGACAGGGTGTGGGAGTGCCGGCCGTAGAAATCAGGTTACTAAAGGCCATGGCACTCTGCTTGACCCAAGAGGACACGTGACCAGTTAAGTCTACAAAGGGCCCCAAGTATGGGCTAGGGGTGGTCACATGGTTAGCATCCAGATCCTTCCCAAGGATTCTGGAAGGTGGTCGTGGCCAAGGGCGGAGCCGGCCACGCCGCAGAGAATATAAGCCGGGTCCCCAGGGGGACCGGCGTTGTTGCTCATCCTAAAGAAACCTTCGTCTACGTTCTATGTTCTCTGTTCAACGAGCCTCTGGAAAAGCTTGTTACGGTGTAACTAGTGTGGTTAGCCTGGTGACTAGGCGTCAACAGTGTAGTTAGCCTGGTGGTAACCACCATAGGTTGTTATTCTGTTAAGGGGAAGTTTCCCCGTGTGCTGGAGTTAAATAAATGTGTTGCCTCTAAGTATACATCTGTGACTCAGTTGAATTCACTACACATTCCTCTAAGAATTCCAGCATTTAATTGCTCGCATGGTATTTACTAAAATATTGAATGTGCAAGGGCACAGAGGAATCTGTGTAATCAGGACAGCTTCATAATTAGACAGCAGTGATACAAAACAACTAATAAGAATGGTAATAGGAACATCAAATCAGTAAAATTTTATTTTGTGGAAATGGTAACCCTCATGGAAATATCCAAGTTTGCAGCCGGAAATTTAAATATTGTTTGCATCATGGGAAAGCCTTACAAAGATCTAATTGGAAGAAAGTTTTGCACTGAGATGTTGGACCAATTTCTCTATGAAGCAATACTTTGCATGTGGGAGATAACCAGAGTATCCAGAGAAAAGCCCACCGCACCACATCTGTGGTGATAACGCTGAACGTTCTACACACGTGGGTGTCACAAAGCCACTTACTGTGCTGGCATATCATGGCCACCTTACAGCCCGGCGCTGAGGTGAGTTTTAGAGATCGCTACGTTGTCAACTAACCCATGCCTCTCAATCACAGACAGTCGAGCTCCACTGCTCCACCGTGTCCGGCTGAATTTCAACAAATAAAAGTGGAAATTGGGGGATTTGCTGCATGCACAGACATGCAGCGAAGTGGCTTGGTGCCATGGTGGCGAGGTGTTAACTCCCTCGCCTGGTAAGCAGGAGGTTGTGGGTTCGATACCGACCCTGACGCCTGCTGTATATTTGAAGTTTGAATGTTCTTTCCGTGGTCGTGTGGATTTTTCTCTGGGTCCTCCGGTTGTTGTCTCCACATTTAGAATCAACATGCATTTCGAGTATTTGACCGCTATGAATTTCCACATGATCAGCCATTTCATTGGGCTATCATTTGTGATAGCCAGGTCACTTCTGAAAAATAGTTATTTATACTCGTTGGTTCTTTCGGTAAAGTCACGTAGATGAAAAATAAAAATAATAATAATAAAATGAAAATAACTAAATTAAATCTGATGACGGAAGCTTGTGTTGCCTCTGAAACGTCGTAATTTAATTGAGTTATTTTTCATTTTTTTTCACCTACGTGACTTTACCGATAGAACCAAAGAGTAATGGATCCTTGCAGTCACGAAAACTTCAAATCTAGAGTTATTGATATAGCTCAGTGCGCCTTTACCTGGTAAAATAGAAAATAATTTAGATTGTTTTAGAGATTGTGGGGGGGGAGATCCCCACCTGCAGCGTTTGGTGCGGCAAAGCCTCTGCAGTCACGGCTGCGTGCAGCGCATCAATGGCACTCTGTAGTCCCTGTGTCTCGCGAGCGATCGCGAGCATCAGCAGCTCGTGCCGGCGCCGCCGCTCGAGTTGGCGCTCGCCGATGAGCCGCAGCACGTGCGTCCGCTCGTCCTCCAGCAGGCTGATGAGCGCCTGGTACTGCACGCCGGCACGCCGCTTTGCCCGCTCCGCCTCCTCCTTTGAGGCGAGAACGGTGGAACGGTGGAACGGTGGAACGGTGGAACGGCGGTGATGAGTTTGGCACCGTGGGGGGGGGGCACGCTCGTGCCGGCGAGGTGCCAGGTCGCCACGACCATTCGCGTTCTGGCAGTCGGAAATTGGCACTTCTGTTTTACGCTCGTCGGTCAGGAGGCGCTTAATCCGGTGCTGATTGGTGGTCCGTCCCCTGTTTAATGTTGAGGTGTAGGTATTTCATATATTAACTAGCTTTACTACCCGACTTCGCCCCGGGACTTGGATTCACCACGCCCGGCCGCCTTTGTCTCCCCTGTGGCGATGTTCACACACCACAACAGTTACTTGTTTGAGGCTGAGTCGACCTAGGGGAGGCCCTGGACCGGTTCAAATAATCGTCACCGGTGGTGGCTGTGAGCGGGAATCAAACTCGGGTCGCCAGGTTCGTAGCGCAGCGCGCTAACCACTACACTACCACTCCCTCCACACACATACATGCGCTTGCTGCAGACACACACAACTTTCAGGGTGCGTACGGCAGTAAACGACTCAAATAATAAAGCAATGCTGCGCAAAGAACGCCTTGGACCTGCAACACATTTGTATGGCACCTTACTCGCCTAGGGTTGGGGGATGTGTGACATCAGCAGGCACACTGCGTGACGCTTCCGCATGCGGGTGAAATCACAGATGTGACGTTACAGCTCACTTGCCGTAAAAAAATATCCATTATTGCGCCCCCCCCCCCAAAAAAAAATACAAAAATCTATTTTTATACTTTTTGCATGGTGTACAGTCTGGAAAGTACCCACATGCCAACTTTCAAGTTTGTTGCATGTCGGGAAGTATGCTAAACATTTCAAACAGACACACATTCACAAATTTCCCTTTTATATACAGTATATAGATAGACAGCATGGGCCATTGTAGAAACATGCGTTGTACTCTACTGAGCTCCGATGTCTATGCTCCTACCTTCATTACCCTGCACTGACCAACATGGTGAAGTGTGGTAAACTAATCCCCACAACCCGCACAGAGTGGGGATGCCCCATCCAGAAGTGGGTTGGCAAAGGGCTGTACGTGTACATGTATGTAGGTATATCATGCTCGTGCAACATAGCCGATTGTCTCCATCGTCAAAATAACTCCTCTAGGTACGCGTGTCCTCGCATATGTGTTCCCCCAAGCGGAACGGCCTTTACATAACATGGAGTTGTGAGATCTTTACTCTTTGGTGCTTTCGGTAAAGTCACGTAGATGAAAAAAAATTCAAATAACTAAATTAAATCACGACGTTTCGGAGGCAACACAAGCTTCTGTCATCAGGTGGAACAACCACAGCAAAATTGCTCACTATAGCAATTTTGCTGTGGTTGTTCCACCTGATGACGGAAGCTTGTATTGCCTCCGAAACGTCGTGATTTAATTTAGTTTTGTTTTCATCTACGTGACTTTACCGAAAGAACCAAAGAGTATGGATCATTGCAGTCACGAAAACTTCAAATCTAGAATTGTGAGATCTACTCGCGTGCAGCGGCAAGATCAGGGATGATCACAGCGTGGTGGGGGCCTTCATCCAGAAGTTGATAGCCACTTAGGACAATGATGGTATGTTCTCTAAGCCAAGTGTCCGAGCTTAATGTAACTCAACAGCAAATGGATAGCTGACTGAGTGCTGCCGCGTGTAAATATTGTAATGATGGCTAATTGAAGGCCATTATTTAAGTAGTCTCTGATTCAATCTTGGAACTTACTGCTGCCTCGGTGGATGTCTTCTTAATGGCTTCAATCATTTGCATGTTCCCTTCTTTTCTCTTCGTCAACTTCTCTAGCCAATCGTGGTGGGAGGCCTGATCGCATCAATCACACGTGGAAACATTAAACCGAAATGAACGACGACACATGCAACAACGTTGTTTCCCCACTTGACAAGCGCGCAAAAAAACGCACGCACGTGTTTGCATGGGAGTGGGGGGGATGGTTCGGAGCAGACACGCTCACCTGCATCGTTTCCGCTGCCTCAACATCGGACAGGATCCTGTGCCCGTTATGCCGCATGGAGATCTGGCATCGCACGCACATGACCTGCCCATCGTCCGCGCAGTACACGCGCAGGTGTGCGCCGTGCTTGCTGCAGCGCGAGATGCATGAGGGTGCCGGGGGCATGGAGCCCTCGCCGGGGTCAGCGTCTGCGTCCGAGTCCCCGGCAGCGCCGGTCCACGCGCATTCGGCGTCGCCACGCACGTCAGGGCCGCATCTCTCCGCGTCGTCTTCTCTGCGGGTCGCTTCGTCGCACGCTTCCACTACAGATACGGGTGGCGGGGGCGCTCCGTACCAGATCTCGCTCAGGCAGCCGGGCTCTTTAGATGCTCCACCTGTGTCTGTGCCGTCATGCTCGAGCGGTTGGGTGGGAATGGTGTTGGCGTTTAGAAGGTCAGAGAAGAACTCCAGCCCAGGGTTTTGGACGCCGGACGCGTCGTTCGTGACGCTAGTTTCGAGGGCTCCAGCTGGACACGGCGGAGGCGACTTTGCCACCGTCGCTGCCTCTCTGTTTCCCTCGGTCGTGGACACTTCTATGTCAAACTGGAGCGGCTCGCTTGAGTCGGAGGACATGGTCGCCTTCCCGGTAGAAGCTGTCCCTGCGTTATAGACCCTGAAAACACACTGGAATTATGTAACTTTATGCTTTACAAATAGTCGCAGACAATGTACTTGCTAACACGTATCATATATTTAGATTTGTATTACGGATAATTTCTAGTTCCCGTTTTTTATTTATAAACGACATGCAACGAAGGGAGAATATGAGAATTGTAGCAAACTTTGTTGATTTAGGTACAACAGTAATGTGTATAATACAGAAGATGGTGAAAGTGAAATTATTTAAGTGCGTTTGTTGAGGACAGTGATGGTGGACTTTAGTCAGTGCCCCATGCCCTCTGAGATATCACGAGGAAATGTCCCAGTGGCCATGTGGACTTGAATCTCGGCCGATGGGTTGCCTCGAAGACAAAAAAATTTAGCACGCTGCATGGTTGAACACACATTTATCCACGACTTGTCGCATTTCTCTCCATTCACCTGCAATAACACCATCCCTCATTCAGTCTCTTCGAGCACGTTACTACTCGACAGTAACACACAGCAGGTTTACAACTACACAGTACATTGTTTATGACGGCATAGATTTTACGCGGAGTCGCGCGTGCGATGGAGCGCAGTCCTCTACCGCGCAGCAAAAATACGTCTGCATTTGATACACTCTTTCCAAGCGCACGTGTATTATATTAGAATAGAAACAACAACAAAACCCCGCTATACTGTTACATGTGAACAAACAATACAATAGCTGTATTGTCAATTTCGGACAAAAGTATCGTGCAACTCACTCTGCAGCTGGGTTTGAGCTTGCGCTGGTGAGGAGCTGTGTGTGTGTGAGATAGCCTATCGGAGTAGCGTGGGCTTCCTCGTAGTTTCGTTGGGCAATCGGTATTTTCGAACTGCTTCCACATTCTAGTGTCACTTTACCACATGAGACTGTTGTGAATTGTGGCTTCTCGGTTGAGGTATTTTTGTTGCAGTAAAAGTTTTTGTTTAATTTACAGTTTGGGTTTTCAACTTTTTTTTGTTTAAGATTCGCTTTACATTTTCATTGCGCTTAAATATCAATATGCGGTCATAGTTCAAAAGAACGTGTATCCACGTATTTTTTTTATTAAAGCGTCAAGCGTGCATTTTAAACATTATATATTAATTGCTATTTGTGTAATGACTGGTGATTCACAGTTGCTTAATTCACTTTTAAATGTTATGCATTTCAAACGTTCCCAGGCAATGTACTTGTTAACACGTATAATAATGAAAGATTTCTGTTATCGTAAAAAAAATTTAGTTCCTGTTTATTTTCGTTTTTCACAGATGTCATTTGGGAAGGAAGAATATGGAAGTTCTAGTAAGCTTCGTTAATTTAGCCACTAAAGTAATCTGTATACTACGGAAGGTTGTGAAATTGCGATGAAGAAATGTATTGTGCTCGCAAGATGTATATATATATTTTTCAGGATTTACTTGAGCCACTTTGGGAGAGTCGAGAGGTCTACATGAGTATTTAGAGACGGGTAGTTGAAGCTGTTGTAACATCTGGTACTGTGCAAAGTGGAAGATCTGTAATTTATAAAACAACTGGCAAATACGTTTGAGGCCAAATAATAATACAATCATTACTTATTGGCGGTGGCCACTAACGACGTAACTTTTAGTCATCTCCCCGATTCGGCGATGAGTTACAACTATTCAGGTTTGCGAATCGATTTAAGAATAATTTTGTTTGACACTCCGCTTGATCACGGTCTGTAGTGATGCAGGATTTAGATTAGAGTGGTGTCCATTCACTCTTCCAGAGAGTCGAATAACTTTAACACCATTGGAACCTCATTTGCCAGAAGAAAAAATATGATAATTGGTTTTTTACCCTTTTATCTGGCAACAAAACTGATACCTTTTTTTTTACAAGGAGTCATGTTTGCATAGACCACAATACCTGCAGTCGTTGTGCGCCTTTTGGCGTCATCTGGTCCAACACCATGTGAGACTAGGCTCTAAGGAAAGCTGTCTCGGGTGTGGACCAATCAACTTCAAGGACAGTGCATACATTATCAGAGTTATGTTTTTTGTTTGCATTACGACTGCAGGTATTGTGGTCTATGCAAACATGACTCCTTGTAAAAAAGGTGTCAGTTTTGTTTCCAGATAAAAGGGTAAATACCCAATTATCAGTCGAATAACTGTCACCGTATCATGGGGCCCTATGAAAGAAGATCCTGCATTGGGGTTTTATTTAATATGTTCGCAAAAAAAAAGTGGGGTGATGTGGTGCGATCGGACACGGTGGCCCGAGGAGCGGAAAGAGAGATGGCGCAGGACAGAGCAGTGTGGAGAAGGTTGGCAAGGACAGCGCACCCCACATGAGTGGGACAAACGCGTGGAAGAAGAAAATACATCTAACAACTACAATTCCTTATAGAGGAAACTTGCTAATGAACTGATTACTAATCTATCATATAATTACAATACCCCCCCCCCTCCGCCTATGATCTCTGCACCTGATGGGTTTAGAGATGAAGTCATCTTGCTCTGTTTAAGACAGGAAGCAGGTGCATTGCTTCACTATTCTGGCCTATGGCCCGATGATGCTGGATGTAGTTACCAGCGAAACGTCACGGTACTACTCAAATTGTAACTAACTGGCACGTTGTTTACATGACAAACCTTATTGGCGGTGTCGGGTGGTGGAGGGTTACGACAGATTTATACTTATGCGGTCTCACCGAAAAACCTTTATTATGCATGGAGATTAGTCCACTTGCTGTCCTGTCTTCTGGAAAAACCACGTAGAAGGGAGTTTCACAACATTTTTGTGGTCCAACACCAACTCTGGCTGCCACCACAGTGCTGGATTACAGGCGTGTGCCAATGTAATTTAGCTTTAAAAAACGTATGGAGTATTATTTGCCTACGTCCAATGGGGGTGAAAATGTTGAATGTGTCCTATGTTTTCATTGTTTATTAAAGTAGTCTGTATATTTTCCGACACAGTTTGCAGTCATGTATCCACCGAGTCACTGACCGTCGATGAGGTGAGAAGCAGCTCACAATTAAGCCGGCGCTTGTCAATATCCTACGCTTCTGCTCATAGTCCCTGCGTGAGTGGGCCAGAGTGCACAACGTTCTGCCCATCCCAGAACCCAGGAGAACCGAGTTCGGGCTTCAGCCTGCAAAATTTATGAATCCCCCACCCCCTCTTGTTACAGGTTGTGCCTCGTGCTGGGTTCTTGTCAAAGTATAATATTGGTTGCGAAAGCCTCCGTGTGAAATGAACACACGGTTAATTTGCAAAATAGGTAATCTACCCGTGGACATATATATTTATATGCGTTTGTATATTTTTTTGCCGACGCATCCGCAGGTCATCTACGCGCTCAACACCAAGAACGACGAGCACGAGGCGGCCGTGTCGGCGCTCCGCGAGGCGCACGCCGAGGAGATGCAGCAGTTCGCGGCGGAGACGCGGCACCGCCTGCTGCGCTACCAGTCCCGCCTGGGCATCGAGTCGGAGCTGCGTGAGAAGGCCCGCTCGCTGGAGGAGGCACTCGCCGGCGAAGGGCGCCTCCGCCGACAGGCCCAGGAGCAGCTGGAGGCCTACAGGCAAGGGAGGCCGGGCGGCTCGTGAAGACGATCCGTTTAAGGAAGTTGCGTGTCGTTGTCCAAGACTTTGACTTTCTAAAACCTGGACAATTGCGTCGATCCAACGGTTGCCCGGGGCTTGACGACCAGCGCTAAAAGGGATTCGCATTGCGGGCCCAGGCGGCGATGGCGTCAAGCTGAGCGCGTGGCACCCTGGCCCACCGCCAACCGGGCATTCAATAGGAGTAACAGTAATGAGCTAAGCATAGTGCTTGAATGGGAGACCACCATTAATAACGGGTTGTTATAAGCTGTGAGACTAAATAAAGGGTAGCAGTGGGCAGTGCAGAAAACTCCGTTGTCCTATTGTTGTACTGCTGTGCTCCCACGTTTATGCTCGTCAGCTTCGCCAACCCGCACTGACCAGCACAGTGAAGTATGTTCAAAGAATCCCCCACGTCCCGCACGGTGTAGTTGGCGTGAGTATAATGGATCAATAATAATGTTTGGTGATGATAATAGAGTAAACTTGACCTCGGAGGTGTTTCTTACCCTTTGCAAATGGCGCTCACTCAGTATAGCTTGTTAAGCGCCAGCTAAAAAGACCACCCCAGCTTGCTGGCAGTGAAGCCGTTGGTGTGTGGCGTGGCGGTGATGCGGTGCGGCAGGCGGCACGTGGAGGAGCGCGACGCCGGCCGGGACGCCGAGCACGCCGACCGCATCCTGACCCTCTCCACGCAGATGCTCGACATGAAGCGCGACTTCGAGGCCAAGATCCTCGGCTTCACTTCGCTGCAGGTCAGGGCGGTGTGCTTTAACGGCCTAGCTGTTAACAACCCATTGCAATGACATACGTGTACGTCATCAGCTTTTCTTCCGATTTCGTTCCGATTACGTCCGTTTTACGTCATGGGAGCGGAATCGATTCCAAACAAAATCAGAATTAAAAGGCCATTTGGGAGGGCGTGACAGATGACCTCAAAGTGTGCGGTCGTGTCGCTACAGTTGTCTGTGGTGAGTACAGCACAATGTCTATAAGAACAGCAGCGCTACGCCTCTATAAATAAAATTAACGCTGAACCGCTTGCGTGTTCCGAGATTCAGCGGTGAACGGGACCCACCCTGCAACTTGTAGGAGTCTCGGAACGGGAAAGGGTTAACCATCTCCGCGATCGAACGATGAGTTTCAACTATTCAGGTTTGGGAATCGATTCAAGAATGGTTTTGTTCGACACTCCACTTCATTAAGGTCTGTAGTGAATGCAGGATTTAGATTTAGGATAGTGACCATTCAGTCTTCCGGTGAGTCGAATAACTCTCACTGTATCATGGGACCCTGCGAAAAATATACCATTGCCTTGTGACACTAGGTGTATAATAACAATCTTTAAAATCTGTACATATAAATATATAAATAAATATTCCCTCTTATTTTAAATGCATGTATTTTTTACTTTTGCGCCATACGTAGCCATCCGTGCTAATCGGAGGTGCGGGGGAAGGACAACAAAATTTATTGTAGCTCGTGTGCAGTTTCTGGATGGATCGTTATATCGCAGGGCCACGAGTTGGTGATGGTTTAGGAAAGCCTTCGTCCACCAGTGAATTGTTGATGGCTGATGATGATGGTACAATTGAACTCCACAATCACAACTCTGCACACTCTCCTAGCCACCCCCCTCCCCACTTCCTCAAGCTTCAATGCTGCTGTGTGACCCCCAGAAACGGCTGGAGGAGGAGAAAGAGGCGGCCCTGGCGGAGGCGCGGGCCTCCCACGACCGCGCGCTGCAGGAACTGGAGCAGGGCCGCGACGCCGAGCACAGCCAGATGGCCGCCGAGTCACACGCGCGGGCCGAGCGCGAGCACGCAGAGGCCGAGCGGCTACGGGCCGAGGGGGAACGTCTGCGCGGGGAGACGGAGCGGCTGGCGTCCGAGGTGCGGCGTCTGGAGGGCGAGCGAGAGACGGCCGAGGCCGAAGTGCGTGCCGGCTACGAGCAGCAGCTGCAGGAGCTGCGCGGAGCCAAGCACGAGAGCCGGCTTGCCGAGTGGGAGGCGCACGAGCAGCGGCTGCGCCAGGAGTTCCAGGCCCACGCGGATGAGCTGCAGTGAGCGACTTGTGCCGTGCCGATCGTTCCAAGGGATACAAAGATAAAAGAAAACAATCCCCCCCCCGTGTAGCCTTAACAGACCGTTGGGGCGCAAGTGCTGTTGGCGAGCACGGCACGTGAGGGGGTAGGAGGCCACTATCACGCCCTACCACCTTTGTCTCCCCAGTAGCGATGTTTACACATTGCACGAGGAACTAATTTGAAGCCGATTCTACCCAAGGGAGGCCCAGAACTAGTTCAGATATTCGTCACTGGTGTTGGACGTGAGTGTTAATCGAACTCGGGTCGCCGTGTTCGTAGTGCAACGCTCCCCCAAAGGGACACACAACCCTGCAAACAAGCAGCCTAGTTTTGTACATGCGTTAACTAATAGGCCTGTGATGATGTGTTGATTGCTGTTGCTTGCTGTACTGCCGTCTCCTTGACACTCCGCAACACACCGGGTTTGCGACAAATCTGCATTAAATCACTCACCTTTGCATCCAAAAGTGCTGGCTCAGAGGCATTCCGTTTCACTGCGCTCATTGCTTGCAGGCGTGGCTGGGAGGCACGGGAGGGCTCTCTGCGGGGCTTCATGGAGAAGCAGCGGGCCGAGCTTGAGCTGAACCAAGCACAAGTCGCCACCTTCAGAGAGCAGGGGGAGCAGCTGCACAGGGACCTCGGGCTCGCACACGAGGGCAAACAGGTACACGATGGGTCTTCATTAGGCGCGCCACGTGGGATCTTCGCGCCCGTGATATTTACCAATGCCGTGGTATTTGCCATCCACAAACACATGGCAACGCACCTGGCCTGCGTTTCCTGTGCCATTTATTTAGGATGCGGAGAGACGCCTGGCTGAAGCACGGCAGGAAGCATCCTCCTCTCAGGCCCGGCTCGCCGACGCCCAGAGGGAGTTGGCCACTGTCCGTGACCAGCTACAGGACCAGGCCGCTCAGCTGCTCAGCAGAGCCAGTGAGTGGCCACCACACCAACATTACACTCGCCTGGCTCACAACCTCATGCAACCTGCAGCCTTTTGGGAAATTTCAAAATGATAATTAGATATATGTGCCTTTAACCTGGAGTCCAGCATAAAGCAGAATTGTGAAAACAGGCTTTCGTTTAAACTGTAAGTCACGGACCTACAGTATTCCTTCACCCATGTGTTTGCAATCGTATTTTTGGGGTTGTGGTCAAGTGCGACCATATTTTTGTTTCTTGTGAATCGGTGTGCTTCCATGGGCAGAACGGATTGGCTCCCTGGAGGCCTCGCAGATGGCCGACCATGCGAACATACGGGACCTGGTGGAGCAAGCGTCCCGCCTGCGTGAGAAGCTGAGCCAGGCCGATGGAGAGCGGACGGTTCTAAAGCAGCATGAAACGGTGGGGCCCCTTTTAGGCTCTTACGGCCACAAGATGCATGTACGGCACCGCCGCATTGTTTTCCAGTGATAGGCCAATCGTTAGGTTTGAGTGTTTATGTGTATCGTCACATGAGCCAGCTTATAAAGAAGCTGTGCAATTTAATTTTGGTGAATTACTTAGCATCATGGGAGTACACGGACCAATTGGGTCATGAGGATAGCAGGCCATTAGAGAAGTAAAAACATAATCATGGAAATGCTGTTGATGCCACCACCCCATCATTTCTTCCTTTTGCTAGATCTGGTAGTTGTTCCAGAGTAAAAATTCTACGTTCGTAGCATCATCATTGAGATAATTTTTTGACTTAGGTGCCACTGCAATGCATGTCTACAATCTTCCATCTTGCACACTACTATGCTTTCTCATTACATTCGATTCCAAACTTCAAAATTGCTTACACTTTCATCATCATAAATAATTGCATAGGCGACGAATGCCTGGTTATGCCAACTAGAGCGTCCACCTTCCACTGTGTTTGTAGAAGGCATACACGAACATTCCATGAAATTCCAGCACCCTCCACATTTACAGGCATTCCTAAGCTGGAATATTACCTTCAAACAATACAAAAACTGACTTTGTTTGAATGATGCAAGGGCACAAGAAAATGTATCCGACCGACAATGCCAATTCGCTACCCCCAATCCGTGCATTGTTTCTCCGACCACCGACGGACGTTCAGACGTTGCATTCGCTGGAGAGCGAAAAGCGTCTGCTGAGCGAGCAGCATGAGCGGGAGCTGGCGCGCGCACGTGAGACCGCGGCGGAGGAGCGGCGCGCCCTGGAGGAGCGGCACCGCGCCGACACGGACGCCGCCGCGCTACGGCACCGGCAACTCGCCGATGAGGCGCGCTCTGCCGCGGAGGGCGCTACTCGTGCCGTGCGACAGGTGAGCTTGCCGACCGTCGCTCCGCCTGGCCGATGCGACATTACAGCAGACATCTAAAGGCACTTCATCACCTTTATCATTGTCATCATCATCATCAATCGTGGTTAACCCACCGCTGGATGAAGGCCTCTTGAAGCTGTCCATATCTCCTTTTTTTTTCTTTCCCCTTGCCTCGCACCTCCGATTAGCGTGGTTGGCTAAGTACGGTGCGAGAGATGTTCAACATACATACATGCATCATTCAAAGGTCTGCGATATAGGAGTTCATCTATCACAGGCAGCTTCACGTAGCCATATTGCTGTACTGCCACATGCTGGCCAGCTCGTCAACCACCGACTCTTGCCTACAAAATTAAAACAAATTTCTGGTGATAATGTGTAGGCAGTGATGCACAAGCACACATAACAAAAATACGCAACATAGTTGTCAACAATGGTGCCTTAAAATAAAAATATATGTAATCGGTGACATTTCAGGCAATTGCCCTTCTTCAAAGGACATGCCTCCAAAGCACTGGGTCACAGGAGTGCGCCACTCTGTCTAGCCGAGAGCAACATCACCATCCCCTCCGCGCTGTGACCTTCCCAGAGGAGCTTTTAAAAGTTTTCCACGTTCTTTTTTCTTTTAAGTTACAATTACGTGTTCGATTTGTTTACATGTATCGTTAAGTTCATGTGACGAGATCACAATAGAATAGTTGTGTAAGGTTTGTTTCGGTCAGAGGCATTTCATTTTATTTAATCAACACTGGGTCGCCCGTGTGTATTTCTAAGCTGCATTGTTCAATGCTACCCTGGATTGCCTCGCTCGTGCGCTGTCCTGCAGATGTCACCTACCCAACAAAGTCACCTGTCCTCACACGGCAATGTTCTGTGTTGCACTAAGTGCCGACTGCTGTGTTCCGGTTTTAGAACGTGTTATTTGACTGCCACAGTCTCAAAACAGGATACAAATTTAACCCTCTTGCCTCTTCCATTGAAAGAGCCACTGTGGTATAGATACCAACACACTGCACTCACAGTCTATAAGTACCAAGGTCATGGTCCAGGTCGTTAAAACCATGTGCGACTTTATTTGCATAAAACAGTTATATTAATTTATTTGGGAATGCCTCTCTGGGCATCGATAATATATTCCAGCAGGATCCTGCAATCGGGTGATGAGTCACATTCTATGTTTCTACTTTTACATTTGGAAAGAAACCAAAGTACCCAGAGAAAACCCACTCTGCATACGAGGGGATAACACTACAAGGTCCACACGGTTCACTGCAGTAACATGAAACTGCCCATAGGTGAAATAACACTCAGAGGAAGCGGGATATGTAATGTTACGTGAGCACTGCGTTTAAGATGCACCCTAACTTTATAAGAGGAATCTGATAATCAGATTTGTTTTTATCTGCCAGGCCACACGAAGTTGCCAGGGCTCAATGAGGTATATGAGTGTTAGCGCGCTGCGCTATGAACCTGGCGACCCGGGTTCGATTCCCGCTCACGGCCAACACCAGTGACGATTATCTCAACCGATCCCGGGCCTCCCCTAGGTCGACTCAGCCTCAAATGAGTACCTGGTGCGATGTGTAAACATCGTCACTAGGGAGACAAAGGCGGCCGGGCGTGGTGCTGGCCACCCACCCCCTCGTGTGCCGTGCCGGCCTTCATAGGTGCTCGCTAACAGCACTTGCCCCTACAGTCTGTTAAGGCTAAATGGGGGACCTTTGTCTTTGTTTCCATGCTTGTGGAGGAATTGGAGGAGAAGATGGATCAGCTCAGGCAGCAGCTGGACACAGAGAGAGCCCAACTTCAGGAGCAGAACAGCGTGCACGAGCAGCTCACTGCTAAACTGCAGTCTGCCAACCAGGAGGTGAGTACGGTGCTCTGCAATGGTTTGAAAACAAATTAAGTATCGATTTAATAATGCAAACTAATGGAAGCTTCTACTTATGAGTTATGTTGCATGGTTTTTATTAATAGATGAAGTCTTCACAATGTTCAGCAATCCAAGGAAGACGAGAGTTATCTTCATTACTCACCTCATGTCTCTTGTCATATGACAACCTTAGACTTGTCAACCCCCCCAATTTAAGCGGCAGGATTATGATTGTTAAATACTTCAGAGGACAGTACTACCAAAGCAAAAATTGCATCAAAGAAAATTCTGTTTTCAAAAAATGTATGAAGTGGTACGATTTAGCTTTGAAAATCGGAATGCTGTAGAAGTGTAAAAATATTTGCATCCTACCTTCTAAATTTGTAGGGCTGGTAGACTAGTCTGCAAACTGTGCCACTCATGTCTAGTGCAGGCCCATTTGTTTTTATATTTTACTCTGTGATCTTGCTGACGTTTTTCTTGGTGGTGTCGGCATCGGAAGCAAGTGTGAGCTAAGCATGGTCGTGCTCCCCCCGGGAACCACCCCCTTCCCGCTGACCTCCGACCCCTCGACTCCTCGATTCCCCCCCACCCCCATGCTTGTTTGGGAGCAGGTGTCACGGCTGGAGGAACTGGTGCGCTCCGGCGAGCAGGGCCTGGGCTCAGCCACATCCCACATCGCCGGGCTACGCGACACCGCTGAGAAGCTGCAGCGCGAGCTGGACGCCGCTCGCACGCAGCTGCACAACTCACGAGCCACGGCCGCCACCCTCCAGGTGTCACGTGACCCTTGACCTCTTCGCCCCTCCTCTCCCGCCACACGAAGAGGGGGTTGCTTTCTCGCCTCGTTTATTTTTCAAAACGTTAACGGGAATTGCGCTGTAATTAATAGGCATGTGGGATGGAGCGGCTGTGCACTGATTAATGCTTTGTGCTATGAATCCGGCAACCTGAGTTTGAGTACCAGCTACAGCTCACATCAGTGACGAGTGATATCTGAAACGGTCCTGCCCCCACCATGTCCTTCACCAGCCTGCACTCAACAGTATGGTGAAGTCTGTAAACCACTCCCCATGACCAACACATTGTGGGAAGGCCTTCATCCAGCAGTAGATTGACAAAGCACAGTTTGGGTCAATCGTTACATTCTGATTAACTCCTTCGGTCACCACGTCATCAAATTTTCTCAGGGAATTAAATATTTACGTTTTAACAGGAATGATCCTGGTTGATGACACCACAAAATACCTTGGAAGTCATTTCAATTGGTCTCTTATGAAATTGTTATGCCCTTTGCAGTACGGTTTTCTTGAATACAGGAACTTATACGTTCCGGCTTAGTGCTCTGCATTAGTCCTCTGTAATACCCAACCAACTCTTGTCTAAATTCCAATTTGTGTTTTTGTGTATGTGCAGAAAAAGAATGATGAGCAGAAGCAGGAGCATCAGACTAAGGTCTCCACACTACAGGAGGACACGAAGATCAAGCTGGAGCAGGTGACTCGTGACTTGGAGCAGAAATGGGAGGCGATTTTGAGGTAAGAATACAGGTCTGATGCATATTTAACACATTTGATAAAAGTATCTGCATACATGGAATATGTAACACTCTCCAACGTGTTTGTCTTCGGAAGTGTTTTAATTAGACGTATGTTTATTTATTTTTTATTTTTCTTGGTAGGAGTAGGGTTTTTATTTGTGTGTGTAAGTTGGGCTTCTTTCGTGCGTATATTTGGTCCTGTGGGATGCTGTTTGTTAATCAATTATTATTGATCCCAAAGTCGCCAACACGGCCAAAGCATTGCCTATCAACTATTATTATCTTACCAGGTAAGGCCCACTGAGCTTCATAGCTTTTTTTCAGAGGAGTGACCTGGCCACAAATGATAGCTCAAGTAAAGTGGCTTATCACGTGGAAATTTGTAGCAGTAGCAAAATACTCTGAACGCACATTGATTCTAAACGTGTAGAGAAAAACCGGAGGATCCGGGGAAAAATCACCATGACCACGGGGAGGACGTGCAAACTCCAAATATAGCTGCGTCGGGCGAGGCAGATAATAACATCTCGCCACCGCGGCACCCCTTGCGATCGGCGCTGCCGCGTCGTGCGCGTCCCTCCAGGTCCAAGTGCGAGCGGCTGCGCGAGGAGCTGCAGGCGCAGCACGCGCAGAGCAAGCGCACGGCGCTGGAGCAGCTGAGCCAGGTCAAGGACCAGGAGCTGGCGGCCACGCGCGACGGCTGGCAGCGCAAGATCCAGGACCTTCTTGACCAGGTGACGAACGGGCGACTTGCCCGTACAATAGAATAATTTAAGCATGCAGGTGGGTAGTTTCATAGCTATCGGGGTGTTCTTATAGGTGTGCGATTGTTATTATATTCACATGAAGGTACTTGTGCTTTTGCGGCCATCTGGAACGCTCTTCCTTTGGATATTAGGAAGCCAGTGGAGTTATGCACTTTTAAAATCTAGATTGAAAATGAATTTCTTTAGAAACTGCTTTTTGTGTTTAGTGTTGTTGTCCTTCCCCCATACCTCCGATTAGCACTGTTGGCTACGTACGGTGCGAAAGAAGTTCAACATACATACATATAGGATACGGGAGATATAAATGCCCGCGATGGATGGAGTGCGGATGACAGCGTTCAGTGTTTTCTTGCTAACATTTATTACACCTGCTTTGAGATGGTTTTTTAATATTTCAGCAGATCATTTTGGACTGATTTCTTCCCCTTTCACTGCTGTATACTTAGAATGAGAAACATCCCAATTTGAGAAGTGAGGGCCGAACTGGTGATATCGATAGCTGATAACGTTTTAACAAAATACAGGTATGCATCAATTTCAAATAAATATAGTCCCGGTTGAACAAAGTAAAATTGTGTTTAATTGTTTTTTTGTTGTTGCTGACAATAGTGCAAAGCAGTGACATGTTTCCTTCTGATGCATAGAGAAAATCTCTAGGGGAAAGCTTGCAGAAGGCGATTGCCAACGTAAGTGAGGACGGTGGGCATGGGAGAGGCATGTGCATGGGCAATGCATCATGAGCAAGCCTGCATGACCCCATACATTGTACAAAGCAGGTTCATTTACAGTCATGGATTTGATGTGCCTACAATTGCATGGATTGCATATGATATGTTTATTTGCACTTCAAGCGTGCCGTTCAAGTATCTGTTCTTGTTTGTGCTACTATTATTAGTGGATGGGTTTTACTTACATTTATTACAAATGTTTTGGTCCACCTGTTCGATCGTTTGAGAATTTCCCATCGGCCCCGTGAGGTGAGCAACCTAGGACCGACATTCACGCGCACAACATGGCTCATTACTTCCGACAGATCTCGCTGCTCAAGCAGAACCTGGAGCTGCAGCTGACGCAGTCGCAGGACTCTCTGCAGCGCCTGCAGGCGCAGTACGGCCTGGAGAGGGAACGCACGCGCGAACACCTTGCCGACGCCCAGCGCGACTACGAGGAGCGTGTGGCCGCCATCGAGGAGAGACACCGGGCAGTCGCGCAGGCCGCGGAGGCCCAGAGATTGCGCAAAAATGCCGTGAGTCTCGTCCCTGCGTAAAACAAGTTTATTGGCCCGGGTGCGCGTCCTGCGTTTGAATGTTGCACAGTGGTTGCCACCTGGAAATCCAAAGTGTAGCATGGTTAGGTATGGGCCCCTGGTGCAAGGCATTAAATGCACCCCCTCTGCCCACCCAATCGAATCTTTTTCACTCTTCATAGCCTGGCTCCTGGGCCTCTTTGTCCCATAGGCCCCCGGTGCACAAGCACCGCCTGTACACTGAACGGCTAAGCTACTGATTGGTCTGTTTACCGCGACGCGTGCACGGACGTGGAATGAGGTGCATCCCTCGTGCGTGGCAACGGTCCGCTTCAGGAGCTGGAGGAGCGTCTAGGTCAGCAGCGCGAGGAGGCCCTGGCGGCACTGCGGATAGAGCATGGCACGGCGGTGGCAACCCTGCTCGATCGCACCCACGGCGAGCTCAGCGCGGAGCGGGAGCGCTGGCGGGAGAAAAAACAGAGGGAGCTGGGTACGCGGCGCGGTTGTGCGATTTGTGCAGCTTATGTGCATGTGCACACACGTCCATCCACCCATATATACACAGACATACCTCATACAAGCAGACTTTACTCTGTGTAAATAAGAGGCAGTCATCAGCATCCATGATCATTTGAACACGTAGGCTTTTTAGCTTATACGAAGGACTTCCCAATCCGTAGCTATGTTACAATCTATTGAGCACCTACACAAAGCATGTATACATATTTATTAGAAATTACACTGTGGTCTGTGCAATGATGTGGTCTATAACGAGAGTCACGTGGCCTGTTCCACAATACAGTATCCTCCTCTTCCCAGCCTTGACGCTCCAGGCAATGTCACATTGGTCACAGGCGCCACCTAGTGGCAGAGCGCTGCACATGGCCCTCTCAATATATTTATTTCTCCTGCTTCTGCAGACAAGCGTATACTTACACCGTTAAAAGAAAAACATATATATAACAGGTGACGTTTTCGGGCAATGACTCTTCTTTTTAGAGCATACAAATTATTGCCTCCAAAGTGCTGGATTGCAGGTGTGCGCCAACTGGCCCAGCTAAATACTTTACACACGCAAAGTGTCCTGCTTCTTCCGTGTAAACGTCGCCATCGGGTGCTTGCGCCCCCCTATAGAGGCGCTGCGCGTGGAGCTGTCCCAGCAGCACACAGCCAGCATGGAGCGGGCGGGGAGTGCGCACCAGCAGCAGCTGGCGGCCATCCGTCTCGAGCTGGAACAAGCGCGGACAGCTGCCCGCCTAAAGGTCAGCCTATGCCCTCTACCTCTCTCTCTCTCTCCGTGGGCTGCACCACATCTGCTTTGCGTGCCATGTGCATGATCGTCTATGGTTATGAATAATGAGGGAGTGGCAGCCAAGGATTGGAACGCGTCCGAGTGCACGTCCACCAAGGAGGTGGAGTGCTGAAAGCAGTTCACGTGCAGGTTTCTACTGCTTTTCAGCCATCATCAATTCGCTGCTGGATGAAGGTTTTCCTAAGCCATCGCTAACTCATGGCCATGCGATCTAACAATCCATCTAGCACCTTTCCCCGCACCCCCGATTAGCACGGTTGGCTATGTACGGTGTGAAAGAAGTTTAACATACATACATCCATACAGGTGCACGATGAATTGTTGCATCGCAGGATCGTCAAGAGGTGTTTCATAGTTATTGTTAATGTAACTACTTGGATTAAGTCGTGTGTGCATTTAGACGTATTACAGCTTCATGATAAATGGCCCCACCATTCCCAGCTCCATGTTCAGATAAACAATCCTAACGCACTAGAGAGCACATTGGGTTGGTCAGAGTAACGGACGCGTCATACCCTTGCTGATCTTATATAATATACTATTAGTGTGAATCTAATGTAAATCTCTCTGCATACATCGATACGTTTGATTGAATGTGAAGGTGGCTAGGTGGCTCATGGGTCAGAGTGCTGCGCTGGTACGACTGAGTTCAAGTTGGGGTTCCAAACGTTGTGAGTTGATGCTTGCCTGAAAACAAATTAATTTTTAACTGCTTCTCGTGTTTAGTGTGTTGTACTTTCGCCGCACCTCCAATTAGCACGGTTGGCTACGAATACACTTAGTATGCTCTTAGTTTGGTCACAGTGACTTAATAAGAATAACATGCCATCAGATCAAATTTGGATCTGCAATTAATTTGGCTACATTTCAGCTCTGAGAATTAAATATATCGGTTTGACTGTCGTTCAACTAATATTGCTCCTTTTGGCAGAGTGGGTGGGAAGGTAATTTGAAGGGATCTTGGAGGTTAGTCTGTAATATCCGCTTCTGTGGGCCGTTCTCTAATAAAAAGGGTCGCACTGCTCTGCGGGAAATTTGAATTGATACTACGTCTCATGACATGACACTGATGGCACAATTAAATAGGGAAAGTGACAAGAATTGTCAGGATTTTACATGAATATCGACGTGTAGCATGGCCTGGCTCGTGACGCATGGACTGTCTCGCCCAGGAGGAGGAGCGCGCACGCCTGGCCGAGAGGCTGCGGGATGAGGGGCAAAAGCAGGAGCGGTTGTTGGCTCAGCTGGAGGCTGAGGTGGCTCGGCTGCGGGGTGACATTGCCAGCATTTCCAGGGAGCTGGAGCTCAAGGGGCAGGAGGTGCTGAAGATCAGGAGTGAAACTAACCAGCAGATCAGGTGAGATTCGCACGGTTCTAAACCTTATTTGGCGTCAATTCTATGCATGTAGAACTTCTTTCACACATTACCTAGCCAACTGTGCTAATCAGAGGTGCGGGGGAAGGCCAAAACTATAATAAGGATGTTACATCGCAGAACCTTGAGAAATGTCAACTTCTTCTGGAGGTCTTCAATCAGCAGTGGATTGATCATGGCTTATGATAATGATTCATAATTTTCCTATAAGGTGCTTTAATTACTCAAACAAAATCAGCGTACAGGAGCAGGAGTTTGGCAGGAGGCTGGAGATGGAGATGAACCGGTTGAATGCGGAGCACCTGCGCAAGAAGCAGAGCATGCTGGGAGACTTCAACCAGGCCCAGGAGCTGCTCAAAGACAAGATTTCTGTGTTAGAGATCGCGTGAGTGCCGACTTGGTGCTCGCTCCTCCACGAACACACCTGAATGTTTAGACTGTAGAGTTTTTTGGCGGGGGTGGGGAGGTGTTAAGATTATGTTGATAACTTTTGTCAAAGGTCATGCAGTACGTGTGAATAGCTGTGATATGTGGATATACAGGAAGGCACGCTTGTTTGTTTTGCTTAATACGAAGGGATCTGTGAGCAACACACTCTGCAGAAGTGCGTTACGACCTTTGAAAGATTATTTTAAATCCTGATGTTGATTATAAACTTGATGCAATCCTAATTTTTTTTTTTACACGAGCTATTGTGGCATAATTTTATTATAAAGGGTTATTTATAGGCATGTTACATTCTGTCCCCTCTACAATTCAGGGAATTTTCCGAAATTGGCATCAAAATATAATTTATTTTGTTTGCCTTTCTAAAATCTACGGTTATATCAGTCGGTAGAATCTACAGTGGCACAAATATATACGATTTCAAATCATCGTGGTCTTATGCGTATGATCCGTTACATGATTCGTGGAGCGTATGAATCTGTTTCAATGGATGAATGGCTTGGGCATATGTTGAGAAGATACAAAGAAGTTGGAATCAAAAAGGCTCTGCAAATGCCACCGGTGTCAGGCACAGCAGTAGAGGAGACTGAGGGTGATATAGATATGTGAGCCGGACTATGCGAGATAGACACGGACTCGAAGTATATAGAGAAGGAAAATCCAAGCAGCCGAGCCTACGCAGTGCGGAAATTAAACGTTTGGCTTCGAAGAAGCAGATGTGTTAAGTGCTTGTGCGTGCACAGGATCGAGGAGGCACAGGAGCGGTACGAGCGAAGGGAAGCTCGTCCCGAGGACCTGACGCTCATATCGGAGCTGCGGGCATTTCTGTCCGACCGTGAGCTGCTGATCAAAAAACTTGTGGTGCGTTTGTGTGTCTATCTCCTGCGGTAATTTTCACAGTTATATATGCATATAAAAATATATAAAGCATCTGTCCTTCATCCCTGCATGTTATCGACTCCAGCAATGTTGAACTTCCACAGGAGGAGAAGAAGTTTTACCAGCTGGAGCTGGTGAACCGGGAAACGAACTTCAACAAGATGTTCAACGCTCACCCGACTGTTGGGGTTATCAATCCTCTCATGAAGGTCACTTCTTGGCATTTTCCTGTGCTACTCGGTTATTCGGATTTTAAGCAGTCAATACATGTGCTCATGGCTCAAAGTTGCTCAAATTAATCACTTTAATGTACTTAGTGACATAGGGAACAATAGAACTTAATTTATTAAATGCCTTTCACAGCTTTTACCATCATTCTTCCACATGATTGTTTTGAGTGACTGGAATGCATTGCCTGTTCTCTGCAGATCTTTGACATTTATCAAACATTTGTTTTCGAAAAGTAGGTTGAATTAACAAAATCCCTTTGGCTTATGTTACCGCGTGAAAAAATGTAATATGTTTAATATCAGACTCAAAGGCGGGGGGGGGGGGGGGCATCGTTGCCTGGAGGAGGCCGGATGTGTGAGCGGCGCCTTTCGCGTGTCGTCGTACAGCAAAAGAAGGGCTCGGAGAAGCTGCCCAACCGCTTCACGAGCGCGCCAAACCTGAGCCAGCTGGAGGCAGCGCATTCAAGCTTGGCGGCAGGCAACGCCGGCAACCAGGGCGGCGGTAGCATGCTGCAGACAGCCCTCTCCAATGGGCCGAGCCGGCTCAGCCCCATCCCCAGCCTGCCCACGCACGAGCGAGCGTTCCCGCTTGCGCGCCCGCTCCCTCCGCCCGCAGCCATGGTATCGGGCGACCACAAGAAGTCGCTCAGGTAAGTGCCCCAGAATGAGACCGATTGATGCAGCGGCATAGCGTGGATGGGGCAATGGGCCCCGATGCAGAGAATGAGATTGGCGGCCCCCTGTCTCATTTTTGCCCTCTTCGTAGCCCGGCACATGGGCCCCTGCGGCTCGTGGGCTTCGGTGCAGTTGCACTGCCTGCACACTCAATAGCTACGCCACTGGATTGAAAGGATGTAAGGAACTAGAGGAAATGAAGGGAGAGGATAAGCACGTGTTTTCCTGGCCTTCTTTGTATATCTGTCTCCAGCTCTTCTGGTGCAGATGTATCGCCTGCGGTGTTTTTTGGCCATATTTAAGATACAAAGGCCTTGTGTTGAATGCGAAAGTGCGATGATGGAATAAACTAGCTGCTGCTCTACGTGTGTGGTGTTGTGATATGTTAACCTTGATATTAAAAGTTGGTCCCTCCACGAGCCGGACTGCATGCATGCATTGCTCTGCCGTTAACTGCCTTTACCGTCCCCTGCCTCTAAACCCACCACGTGACCCCCTGCCCTTCCCCCCTCCCTAGATTCCGGGCGGTGCCCCCAGCGCTGCCTGTGTGCTGGGAGGCTGAGCCGAATTCCCCTGCATCCTGACCCTGCGCTTTGTTTGTCCGTTCTGAAGACGAGCTTGCACGTGTGCCCTGCACACCATTAACCTGGGCTCCCAGCCTCCGTAACAAGCACTATTATATCTTTTGTGAAACCGCATTGGCAGTGATGGACAAGCACAAATAAGAAAAAACTCGAGATATTCGTCAACAAAACTGCCTTAAAGTGGGAAAAATTTACATTTTTGGCAATGACCCTTTTTCATAGCAGAGTTGTTACGTAGCAGAGTTGCTGCGAAGAAGGGTCATTGCTTGAAATGTCACCTTTAAAGTGTGTTTTTCCCTTTACAGGACAGTTGAGTTGTTCGTTATTTCAACAAGCACTTACTTTGCTCATCAAATTTAGTCAAACTCTGGAACAATTACAAGCATTTTACTATGAGTGTTCGTTCAATTCACCTATTTTCTTAAAGCATGTCTTCCATTCAGAGTTTCAATGAACCAATAAAAAGGTACATTTGAACGGGTCAAGGTTAAACTGTGTTGTCTTAGAACCACCCCTTAAGTTTCTGCCAAAAGAGGAAGCACTACAATATTTTATTTGCTTTCATGCCTGAGTGTGCATGTGCCTGTTTAAACATCAAAGTGATGTTTTACTGTGATTCGCATTATGTGAATTACATTTTCCAAGCTCATTCACCTTTTATTGCTTCATAAATTAACAGAGTATGAAGCTTGTAAATTATTATTTTAACGATCTGAATGATTTTTTTATGCTACTGTATTGAATGTTGTAACTTTGCACAAACGTTAGCTAGATCTGACCTATACACCTCTTTTTGGGTTGGGTTTTTAAAAACAAAAAATTATTTGACTACCCCAAAACACATTACACTCTACTATGGTATGCAAAAGTGCCTGTTTGGGAGTTTGTTAATGCATGTGGTTTGATAATTGCTTTTTCAATAAACTGCAAGGGCATGAACAGCTTGCAAGGTGTGGCTGGTGTATTTTTTCCCCCTCATTGGTTTTAAGGTGTCAATTTACCTCTTGCTCGGTCTTCTACTCATTGCACAAGTTAATATCGATTAATCAAGTCGTGGTGTGTAACACTATACCGTCGTCATGCTAACAGGCTACAAAGCTATGTTTTAAAATATATATATTGTTTTTAACTGAAACGTGCTGTGTTGGTGCATACACGTGTACTGTCTTTACTGCCCTTTTCTTTTTAGCTCCATCCCGGATGAGGCCGCTCTGGAGGTTGGATGTGACCCGCAGCGCGAGGAGTGGTTTACACGTTATTTCTCCTTCTGAACAGTGCGCCCACCAGCTGCCGCTCAGCATCAGCGGGGATTTTCCACTTTTTTCTACGTGGTTTAATCCCCAAGCATGAATTACAACAGCGTTCATCGGGGGCTGTAAATTGTGTATAAAAAAACCCTAAAGATGCGTTGACAAATGTGTTAATATAATAAAATTGTCATTTTGCTAATATGTGCAGTGTTACGCTCAAGTAAATAGAATTAGTATTGTTGCAGGATGTGTATGTTTAAAAAAATGTACATAATGCTGTATTGAAAACCTTAAAGGACTTTATCCGTTGCCAGACAGTATTATTGCTTCGTCGATCATTGTAATGTATGTGTGTTTAATCTAACCACTTGAAACAACAATAATTCATACAAAATGCTTACATTTATTTAAAAAACACTGTAATATTTGGTGCATGGACACATGCAGATGTCATTGTGTATTGTATGATGCCCAGGGATTAATTTCAGCCAGGTATATCTGGGTCAGCGACCTAGGAGATGATTCTGCGTATGCATCCTGTGGTCGTGACTACTAGCCTGTCACGTAACCACTCCAGTCTCCAAACGACCCAGACAATATTCATTGAGAAAAAATGTACATAATGCTGTAATATAGTATTCGGTGGGAAATGTAATCCTGCTGATGCCTTAAGTCATGTATTTTCCTAGTTTGAATTCAGCACAACTCAGATGTAAGCTGGTCCTCTGCATCTACGTTAGGTGATCCACATGGAGATGGGTATCTGACATCAGTTTATTTCCAATATAGTATACACACTACGGTACACTTCACAGAAGTTCCTAGACTGTTGGATTTTGATGCTATACCTCCAATGCTTTGTACAACTGACATTTAATATTTCCTAAACATAGAATGTTCGAAATAATATTTTGCTGTGAACTAATATAGAATGTTAACTATGCAGTGGTAGTAATTTAAATGCTTGACGTTTGCACATTATTAGGTGGGTGCTCTCAATTGAATGCCATAGCAAATACTTCTTGTAGCATTTGATGCTTTGTATGGAAGAGAAGACAAGCGTGCTACTGCCAAGTCTACTGACTATGAAATTGAATGTCAATGCTTAAAAAGATCAACAGGAAAGCGATGTTGTAAACAGGCCTGTACGCAGTGTACCTCCATAAGCACGTGTATTGTAGGTGTAGCAAACATACTTGTCTGGTTTGCGTTCCTTTGAAACCCCTGTGCTATGCTGTTCCACAAGGATCCATCCTTGGCCCCCTCTGCGTTCAATACATCTCCTCCCGCTTGGTAAAATAATTGTCAGTTCTTTACGTCGACCATCAACATCCAGCTCAACATCGCCACCGACTCCACGAACCCTTTGTGAAAAACACTGTGCTCATTGAGGAGGAGTTGGCAAAGCATCCCAATGCTAAACTCATGGAAAAGAGTTGAGAATCAGTGAGGCTGTCGTGGTAACATATAAACAATACATTTATTTGCCTCATATGGCATCCACGACACAACACGTGGACTGATGTTTATATACATATGCAATTTGAGATTGACCATGTTATGAATGTAGAAAACTGAAAATCGTCTGGTCACGGGGTTGGTCTGTTGCAGTAGTGGCCATTACTTCACTCCTAATCCACACCTGGATCGCAAGAAGATTTGTTTGTTGATCTCAAGATCAAATTAGAACAATATCATCGGCATTTAATAGCGGCGTGGGTCTGAGCTGGTAAAATAAAACAAAAATAGTGTAGTGGCTTTGGCTACATGGGCGACAATATTTTCCTTATAGGCGAGCACGTGACTCGCAGGTCAGAGTCACGTGGTGTGCTGAAGGTTGAGATGCACGCGGACCTCGGATATTTGAATTCTAATCGATAACCAACCGTTAAAAGAACAAAAAAATCACACATTTAGCTTAAGTAACATGAATCTGGAGTTAATGCCAGAATGCATTTTCGTGTGTTGTATTGTTGGCTGTGTTTAAATGTTCAGTTACTATAGAAAATTATAGTTAAAGAGCGGTTGGAATGTTGCGTAAAGCTAAATGTTTAACGATCGCATAAAGTAGCTTTGCTCGTTTACTGAAAATGTTTTTTGTAATTGTTGACCATAGCTTCCTGGTGAATCGATTATCTGAACCGGTCCTGGTTCTCCCCTAGGTCGACTCAGCCCCAAATGAGTACCTGGTGTGCTGTGGTGTAAGCAACGCCACTGGGGAGACAAAGGCGGCCGGGCGTGGTGCTGGCCACCAACCCCCTCGTGCCGTGTCGGCCTTCATAGGTGCTACTCGCTAACAGCACTTGCCCCAACAGTCTGTTACAGGCTATACAGGGGATCATTGTATTTGGTGTAATTGGCCACCAATGATCTATTGTGTTATTAATTGAATTTTTGCTCAATTCTACGATAATAAATGCGATGTATATATACTACTATCTCGTTGCCACAAGTGGACACGTGTATTCAATGAATAAGTGCACACTTTGTATATATTGTTCTGTGTATACAATTCCCCGGCATGGTATGTTTGGATGTCAATAAAATCGAATTGTTTTCGTGAAAGTTTTTGGTGTGGCCAATCAAGTAATGTTATTACATCAAATTCGACTGCTCTTTTAGTCCAAACTCGTCTGTCTCCCCATATAGAATTACCGTACATAAAGGAACCTATAAATGGCTTTGCATTTATAACTGTGCTGTAATCTCGGGCAAAAATAAAACGTTGAACAATTGTTTGGTACTGAACTCAATAGAATATACATACAGATTAATACTAACAACCCAGTTAATACTAATAGGGGTTTTCCCCTTTTTTTCTGGCAACAAAACTGACACCTTTTGCAAGGAATCATGCTTACATTAACCACAATACTTGCAGTCAAATGCAAACAAAAAACAATACTTTGATAATTTGTTGCCAGAAAAAAGGGGAAAACCCCTATTAGTATATTTTGGAACTGGTAAAGGAGGTCCCATGATGAACCCAGTTAATGTACATAACTAAACTTGCCTGAGTTTAAAGAGGAAATGCAGTACTGTAATATACAATACCTGTCAACCCTTTATCAGTGCCGACCTTATTAGACCAATTCAGACCGTATTGGTCACCCCGTGCCCTTATAAATCTCAACGTTCATCCTACAAAGTCCCATCACAAAAGAGAAACACAAATATATGTTTTTGTTGCTCGTATTGAAAAGTCTATGCCGTATGGACATGACAACTAAATTTCCATGTAAAAGAATACGGGGTAAACCGTAGGGGTTGACAGGTATGGTATTGTAGTGTAAAGTAGTGGTGTGGAGTGTAAAGTAGTGGTGTGTAGTGTATAGTAGTGTATGTAGTGTATAGTTGTGTGTAGTGTATAGCAGTGTAGTGTATTGCAGTGTATAGTAGTGTACTGTGTAGTAGTATAGTTTGTATTAAATCTAGATTTAGACCTCCCGTGACTGCAGGAATTCATATTCTTTGGGTCTTTCGATAATGTCACGTATATAGGTTCAAAGAAATTAACAAAAACTACTTGAAAATAACAAAAACACTTGTTATTTTCTTTGAACCTATCGACGTGACTTTACCGAAAGACCCAAATAATAGTTTGTATTAGTGTAGTGTGTAGTGTATAGTAGTGGAGTGTATAGTAGTGTAGTGTGTAATGTATAGTAGTGGAGTGTATAGTAGTGTATAATGTATGGTAGTGGAGTGTATAGTAGTGTAGTGTGTAATGTATAGTAGTGGAGTGTATAGTAGTGTATAATGTATGGTAGTGGAGTGTATAGTAGTGTAGTGTGTAATGTATAGTAGTGGAGTGTATAGTAGTGTATAATGTATGGTAGTGGAGTGTATAGTAGTGTAGTATATAATGTATAGTAGTGGAGTGTGTAATGTATGGTAGTGGAGTGTGTGGTGTATAGTAGTGTAGTGTTTAGTAGCGTAGTGTGCAGTGTATAGTATCGTAGTGTGTAGTGTAGTGTAACATAGTACCGTAATATATAACATAATCTTTTAAAATATGACTTTTACTTAACAAATACCCAATATCGGGGGGGGGGGGGCGGGGTGGTAACATTGCAGTGTTTAGATTTGAAGCTTTCGTGACTGCAAGGATTCATACTTTTAGTTTTTTTTCGGTAAAGTCAGATAGGTAAAACACTTTTTTTCTTGTGTCGCCTCCGAAATGTCGTGATTTAATTTAGTTTTTTCATGTATTTTATTTTATTAATTGTTTTACCTACGTGACTTTATCGAAAAAAAACAAAGAGTATATTGCAGTGTTTATTGTCGATGAAGAGGAGCGAGTCACGTGACGCGCTCATTCGCCATGGCGGGCCCGGGCCCGAGCAGTGAGTCCCACAGCACTCGCGCGTTTTAATCTTTTTTAAAATATTACGATTTCTAATTAATTATTACATTATTTAGACGGTTGTTGTTTCCCCCCACCACCACACTCACACACAAAAACTGAAATGTGCGTGTGTCACGCGTTTTAAATATAATTAAACAGATGCGCGTACTGCTGAGGCCTACCCGCAGGCTTTTATTTTTTACTTTTCGTTGTAACGCTGAGAATTTACGCGCGTTTTAAATTTTATTTCCGTTGCGTATAATTGGTTTTTAAGTCGCCGTCGTTTAGGGGAAAGCGCTTTACGTTGTACAAGCGTTTGGGGAAAATTCTACTCTGTATAATTCGCTTTATTGCAAAAGCCGCGCGAGTACGATTCTTAGGTTTCTCCGCTGTAAATCTTAAAATCGCCTTAACTATTTAACAACATTGAGGTGTTTATTACGCATTGGTAGTGCCTCGTTTGTTGGATGTCTCGTATTTTCCCTCTTTCATCTGTAAAGGCTATTTTGTCTCGTTTGTACAGGGTGGTCTAGATGTATTGTGACCCCCCCCCTACATTGACCCCTCACCCCCCCCAAAATTGACCCCCCCACCACTCCACATTGACCCCTCACTTTTCGCTGATAAGACATCGGAGTATCGAAGGCCGTCACACCGCCTGCATACAAGAAGTGTTTTCACATTTTCTGTATTCATCATCAGACCTCCTTTGCCAGTACCAAAATATAATAATAGGGGTTTCCCCACTTTTTTCTGGCAACAAAACTGAAAACCTTTTCACAAGGATTCATGTCTGCATTAACCACAATACTTGCAGTCAAAATGGGTTTGTAAAAAGGTTTCAGTTTTGTTGCCAGAAAAAAGGTGAAAAACTCTTGTTATTATATTTTCTGTATTGTCAGGGGCCGCACGAAAGGCCACCAGGGGGCCCCCGGTAGCCCCCGGACCTTGCAATGAAGAGCATCGCTGATTGTCGTAGCCGTCATTACTTACTCTCTCCCCTGTTCAGTCTCCTCTTTGCGGTCTATATTGTCGTTTGTATGCACGTATTGTATACCTTGTATCGTGGGCCTAGTTTGTACCGCTCCGTGTGTATTCTCATCTCATTGTGGCCGTACTGCCTTGTTTGTACATGCTGTTTTTCATTTGTACCGTCTCATGCGCTTTAAACAGTACTGTCTACCCCCGTTCTGTTGTCTTCTGGTCTGCATTGTCACATGCACTGTCTTCACTCCATCGGCTCATATGTGTTGTATCTTATCTAGCTGTCTACGCGCTGTTTCTAGTAGTCTGTACTGCGAGTACTTTACGTCACGTCTATTCTGTCTCGTTCTGTTTTCACTTTATTGGCACTTTCATGTCTCAGTGTACTGTCTAATTCTGTCTCATTCGTTCCCCCATTAGCCTGAATGAATGTAAAATTATTGATGCCCCACAACACAGTTCGATGCATATGAGTGATTCACGCATCTTTGCATGCTTGTTACGATCACTAATCCTCACTGTGTTTTATCTGCCGTTAGAACACAAGCTACAAAATGTGGGGCCTCAGGAGGAGTGGTCTATCCGGGAAAAATTGTGCCTCGCCTCCTCCGTCATGCGAAGTGGCGATCAAAACTGGTTTGTATTATTCGATGCTATTGTATTTGGAGCCCACGTAGCCGAGGCTGCGTAACTACGGTCATGGGCTTAGAGGCTATGATCATAAGGGTGGGTATACAGGTAGGAACAACAGTTCCACACTGCCCACCAGGGATTATTTGTCTGTTGTGCATAGCCCCTCCCAAACATGTAGTACGCTCCCGGATTGGTTGAAGTGCATCACGTGACCGCGAGCTTTCTGTCGTGCACGAATGCGCTGTCCAACCAAGTTCCTACCTGCCCACTCTTAAGGAACGTGTTGATGAAGCCGGCTTTGGTGGACAGCAGAGGGAAGCGCAAGCACAAACCATTGTTCACCAGCCTTTTGCCCGTCCAAGGACGACGGGTGTATTTAATTAAATCTGAAACTTGCAAGCGAAAAGCAGACCGCGACGTGATATTTATTGCATCAATTCGTGTGCAATTTGTAAGGGCGCGGTGACACAGACTTATTTCATTTAAAGGTTATAATCCCTTGTTCATCACGACATCCTTTTTATTTCGATGTCTCAATAGCGTAACGGAGATCGCGTGATGTGAGGATTCTACCTTTGTAGTGAGGGTTGTAAGTTGACGCTGAGGAGGGGGGAGGAGGCGCCTCGCCCCCCCATGTGGAGTGACAATTTTTATTCACTTTATTATTATTAGTTTTCTATGTACGTGACTTTACCGAAAGAACCAAAGAATACTGTTCATGAGTATTAATGAGGGGGGCTGGCCGATGTGGAGTGACGTCACGCACGGGACACACAGAGATTCTTGGCTCATTGTAGTAGTAAATAATATAGTTTTTTTAGTTAGATAGCGTCAATATAAATGTGTCGTTAAACCCGCCATCACCCAATTAGTAAGGTTTATCACTTAAATGGAACATGCCGATTTTAAATGTTGCGGATTTGCTCTCCAACACACTGGTGTGCTCTACTAGTAATGGATTGTCATGTTCTGTTTACGTGACAAACCTTACTAATTGGCTGTGTCAGGTGTTGACGGGTTTAACGACACATTTATACTTACGCGATCTAACCCATAAAACCTATATTATGGATGATATTGTTAGCGAAAGCCAACGTGTTAAATTGACAAACCATTGTTGTACTCCACTATGCTCCGACATCTACGCTTTACAATTCATGTTGACCAGCAAAGTGAAGTTGGATCAAATAACCCTGACTGCGTGAAGAGGCCCTCATCCACCAGTGTGTACGGTACATGATAATTCAAATAAAATAATGTTGTGTGTCCTTACATGCTTGACTGGTTGTGTGTGAAACAGGGTCTCCGTAAGTCGAGCAATCAAGCCGTTTGCAGAACCCGGGAGGCCTCCAGACTGGTTCTCACAAAAGGTGAGACTTGCAGCCATAGTTACACCAGAGGTCGCAAACGGGTTTTGATTCCTTACCCGTACTCGGCCGCACCAGGGTCGCAAACGGGTAGCCGGGTATCGGGTAGGGTACGGGTATCGGTTACCTGATTGCGACGTCTGGGATGAAGCCATGTTGCAGGCGCGGGTGGGTTGATTCTAGGAACTTGAATTGTGAGAAGAGACAAGACGTTGGGAAATGAGTGACAAACGGTTACTCACCAGTGACTCACGGCCTACCCGTACCCGTACCCGGCCGCACCAGGGTCGCAAACGGGTACCCGTAGCCGGCCGGGTACGGGTAGCCGGGTATCGGGTAGGGTACGGGTATCGGGTACCCGGTTGCGACCTCTGAGTTACACTCCACCTTTATTTGTTTATATGTAAATTTGTTCTTTGAGAATTTGCATTCCCTTTGTTCTTTTTTACACTTCGAAGTAACATTTTATTTCCTTTCCGCAGCACTGTGCATCTCAGTATTCTGAACTACTGGAAACTACAGAGACACCTAAGTAAGACTATTTTTCCCATTCTTGAAAATAGTTGGCACATGTTTACATTGTAGTTTTAAATGTTTACATTTTGCATCTTTTGTATGGCGTTTTAAAAAAAGAAATGAGCTACAATTGTACTTATGTAAGGCATTCCACGGCATCCGGGGTTACCTGATTGGAGGCCACTTGTGTCACCATAATGCGTGTGTATTGGTCAGTCATCGGTGATATTTACATGAATTGTGTTCAAGACAGACAGAATAATTTTAGTGCAAACAACGAAGTGAAGGATGCATGGACTTTGCCAGTTTTGATATTGACTGAAATCATTGAACTGTTGAATGGCAGGCGCAAGAGGGGTGAGCGTGGAGAAGTGGTGGAAACCATTGAAGATGTGATCGTTAAGAAGCTCACCGTTGAACGAATTGAAGAGCTAACAAAAAGCATTCGCGACATACAAGAACGATACAAGTGTGTACTGCTTTCAGACACTCCAACCTATACCACCACCATTACACACGGATTCTCATTTTTGTTAGCATGGTGTGCGGTGGACTGATTTTCTTTTTACCCCACAGAAAATTAAAACATGAATTGGAACTGGTTCAGAACGGGCAGTTGGACCATAATCTGCATGAAATCTGGAACGACATTGTCGCGTGAGTTTTTACTTATCATGTCTTTAATATGAATACACTCCGCCTCAGTTTAGTTTTGTGACAATAATCGGATTGTATTTGCAGTCGAAAGAAACAAGATGAAGAAGAGGCGGAAGCGAAAAGGAAAGCTGTAGAAGAAGCATATCAAGGTAATGAGTGAAAAACTGATTTTCACATTAGCAAAAGCTTTTTAAACGTTTACTTTTTGTGTGAAGGTTTTGTACCCATTTAATACAACAATGCATTCTGGTGTCTGCTATTCACAGCTCGCATGGCAATCAAAAATGCCCCCAAGAGACCATTGGCTAGCATTCGTACCTTGTCAGCAGATCCCACAACTTCTGGCCTCGACTCTCCAAGCTCTGACGTGGCTTCCGGAAGTGACGTGGTTATGGCACAAGTAAGAACATTCTTTATTGGAACTGTAAAATACGTTCGGTTTGAGTTGATAAGCTACTTAACTCTTGTTCTTGTGGTATCACATCGTAAATTAATGCTTGAACAGTTTTAAGGTAGTGCCACCTTCCAAAATGTGGTAAGTGAAATGAGGTCGAACATATTATTGCCGTGAAATAATATCTAAAATAAACGCACATTTTCCCAAAATGGTTTCGCTTTAGAAAATGATAACTGCATGTACCAAGGAGATACTTGAATAATAACTTGGAAATATTTATAAACATTAACAATAAACTTGTATTTGAAAATGCTGACTTCGCAAGTAGTTTTCAAAACAACTGTTTAGAAAAGTAAGTGGGCTTGGGAAGAATACGTCGCAAGAAGGGGATGATGGCCAGTGGTTGAGACGGACGGAAGCCGGAAGTAGGCAACACGCCTGAGAGGACTTCCACCAAGATGATGGAGCGATGATATCAGCTCCTGTGCAGCAAGTGCTGAGTGGATTGTTATATTGCAGAACCGTGAGAGATAGCGACATCTTGAAGAAGCTTTCATCCTGCAGTGGACTGATCATGGCTGATGATGATTTGAAACAAGAATCTAACAGCGTTTCTTTGTTCTCATTCAGCCTCCTTTGGGTGGCATTGCGGTGACGACACCAGCAGTTTCATCTCCTGTGACTTCGACTCCCACTGCGGTGCCTGGGATTGACGATTCACTAGCAAAGAAAGCAGCAACCATAGATGTACAGAAACCGAGCCCCCCACAGTCGCCGCTGACTGAGCTTCTGCGTAAAAACGGGATTCCATCCTTCGGCACCGTAACCTCGGTAAGGTTACACCGTCACCTCATTACCAAAAAAAAAAACCCACCTTGTTTGGCATTAACACTGCCGTGCATACTGGAAAAATAGAAAATATGTTGGCATTTGAGGCACTGACCCTTGCTCATGATATGCTCTTATATTATAAGGGAGTGTTATTGATGAACATTATGAGTTTTCTTTGTATACTACTGATACTGTAGTTTCTTATTTTTTTTATATTCTGTTTAACCTCATAGCTATTACGAAAATATGGGAAATGTTATGGCACTTTTGTAACTCTTGATTAAGCTAAATCAAGCTTTTGACATATATCGTGGGAGATGGTGGCACATTAACAACAAGAACAACCGCCATTCGACACTAAGTGGCGGTGACGTCACCACGGCGATTGTGCCAGGCTATGTGCACATAAAGGCCACGTGAAGTGTCGAACGCCTGCTAGTAGTTCACGGGACGGACCCAGGTGCCGTGGGTTGACTGACTGAGATGACTGGCCGATGCACCATCTGTGCCCCCTACTATGCCAATTTGGCACATTGCACACTGTGTTACAAACTTGATCACCAGTGGCAAGTGGTATCTGCATGCATCCTTGGTCTCCACTTAGCTGTTTCGGCCTGAAATTAGTTCCTGGTGTGTTCATCAACATCAGCATGAGGGATACAAAAATGTCTGCTTCTGGTGTTGGCACTTCCAACCCCTCGTGAGCAATGCTCACCTGAATATATGCTCACGACAGAAATTGTCTGAACAATTCATTTAGCTAAACACCCCACGTCTTTGTCTTTGTTGCCATGTCTAGGAAAAGTGTGGTGAGGGCACTTTTGCAGAAACGGGCATTGAAGCTGATACTGTTCCTCTTCATGAAATGCCCATCACCCCATCCCCTATCCTTACCATAACACCTGGCCCTCCATCTGCAGGTGAACACAACAGTGCACCACACACTTCGTATTTTGTCACTGACACATTGCACAAATTCCTCTGCTTCTTCGTCTCTGTGCCGTCAGTTGGAGCTCTTACCTTGCAACGCCTGTAGATGTTTTATTCTTCTGCATTATTTGGTTCCAGCTCATCATCACACACTTACATGTTGACATTAAAACATATGAAGTTTACTTCTCGGTTATTTCATTGTTGTGCAAAAGGTTTGGAGGGCTGTTAGCATCTTATTAGGATACTGAGAAATAGTATAACATATGCGAGCTGTTTAGCAATCCCTTGGCAAGGGTTTTACCTATGCTTTGAGTGTAATTATTGGATTTTATCGTAGTTTGTATTCTATCTATATCACAAGTGTAGTTATTATTGGTTTTTACTCCATTTCGATTACATTTTAGCGATACTTGAGCATTTCTAATAAATTTTACATGAAGCGCTTTGAGATAGTTTGATATGAAAGGCGCTTGATAAAGTAAAGATTAGATTATTATTGGTCGGTTACACTTTTTGGTCTTTTTCCTTTCATAATCCAGTGGCACCAACTCTGTCCAAACTGCTGGAATCTGGGCTGTCTGCAGTGCCAATTCCTGCAGCAATCGCCGTTTTCCAGACACCGCCAATGGAAGCGCCTGCGGTTGCACTCAGGATCCCGGAGATTCCTGAGCCCAGTCCGGTGCTGAAACAAGCTCAGGAGGAAGCAGGCAAAGGTAAAATATTGCATTTCTAATGTATGTTTTTGCACATTTGTAAATTGTGATTTTTTTTACAATGGCAGTTAATTTTTTTTTAATGGCTGAGTTATTTTTTCATGGTTATTGAATTCACGTTATCTTTGAATTCTCTAATTTTTCGGGTTTCCCTTTTACAATTGTTCCTCATTCTTCGCCGTGTATTTCAGTCTTGGCAAATGAAAGCGATGTACAAATGAGCGTCACCGTCGTGGGACAAAGGCTGTTGCTTCCCTGCGAGAGCAATGCGCACGTTGCCGTTGTCACGGCCCCTCCGGCGGCGGAGGTTCCTGCCGCCGAAATGGCGCCCCAAGAAGTTAATGCGGCCGCTTTGACGACGGACGCCACAGCAGCAGCATCTGAGCCAGCAGTGACATTGGCAGAGGAAATTATTCCACAGCCGAAAAGCGAACTCGCTCCCCCTGCGCTTCCCAAGGCTGAGGTCAGTGTCATATCTAATCACATTGAGATTGTCGTCTTAGCTATAAAAGGCTCTTCATGAATCCATCTTGGCATGGATTACACTGGTCAACACACTTTTTCTGGCATGAGGCATTCCAACGGTTTTAATGTAATTTTGGGGTGCTGATTCCAAATCTGGCATCAGTTTTTGTCTATCACATCAGGTTTTTGAGATATCAAATATTGCATTTTCAATAATAACTGCAGAAGAAAAATATTAAATAAATGTGGATATCTACATGAAATGATATTATAAACACACTATCCTAAAAATACAGCACCATATTGTTACTGACTCGCAACAACTTGCAATCATAAGTGACAGAGTTCATTTCGGGTAAAATCAATGAAAATGGGGTATGCCGATAGCATAAAAATGAGATGTGATAGAGCAAATCTGAGATCAGATTTGGAATCAGCACCCTGAAATTAGTCTAAAACAGCTGCAAAAGTCCAGGCCAGAATTTTTTGTTGTTGTTGACCAGTGTTATATTGTTGGCCAAGTGCAAGAGCTGCCAATGTCTTGTGCGTTTGAGCAGGTGGTGCCAGAGGCAGCGAGGGTCGAAGTTCAGCCACTAGCGGAGGTTTTGACCGAACAGCCGCAAGTGGAGGAGGTGGTGGTGGAGTCTCTGCAGCAGGCACTCGTGCCTCAAGCGGAGGACGCGGCGATGGGCGATGGGGATGGGGATGTGCTCGGCGAGATGGAGGATGGGGAGCAGGACATTGATATTCCCCTTGGAAGTGAGGAGGAGAAGGCATTGTTAGAGGAGCAGAGCCCCCCATCTCATCCGGAAGTACGTCTCCGATGCAGCTGGCATCATTAAAATTGCATTGCCATGGACTTTGTACACAAAATTATTACATTATACACCATGAGCAGACGAGTGTGTGCAGAACAAACACTTTTGTAAAAAATCAGCTTTGTATTAAATAGTTTACGTAACTTACATTTGTATAATGTATACAGTTGCAACATAAACATTTGTAATAGCAGTTGTGAATGTTGCTGTGTTTTTTTTTGCTGCAGATTCAGATTGCTCAGGAGGAAGAAGGAATGGCGGAGGAGATATTTTCTACTCCACCTGAAACGCCTGCACCCATGCCCACTCCCATGCCCACTCCCATGCCCACTCCGATTTCCACTCCCATATCTACTCCCATACCAACATCTACACCATTGCCCATACCCACTCCTGTGCCCACTCCTGTGCCCACTCCTGTGGCCACTCCTGTGGCCACTCCCGTGGCCACTCCCGTGGCCACCCCCGTGGCCACCCCCGTGGCCACCCCCGTGGCCACCCCCATAGTCATCCCCGTGGCCACCTCCATGCCGACACCAATGGTCACACCCATGCCCACCCCGATGGCCACACCCATGCCCACCCCAATGGCCACACCCATTTCCACCCTGATGTCCACACCCATGCCCACACCCTTGCCCACCCCGATGCCCACCCCGATGTCCACACCTGCACGTGATACTTCACCCACGCCCTTGCCCACACCCAACCAAGAAGAGCTCAAGCCAAGTCTGGTGCAGCCCTTTATGGTACCTGTTTCACTTTTTTTTTGTATCCACAAGTGTTTGCTCGTGTTCTTGAGTTTGTTTTGGCATAAAAAAAATCCTGGCTGTATTTTAACCACAGACAGTAAAATTTTGTTGCAACGCACAGGTGACCAGGAGATGACGGTGTGGGTTTTTGTTATCTCTGCATATGTATGGGTTTTTTTAAAGGGCACTCTGGGTTCCTGCTACATGCAGGATTTCGTTTTAAAATGAAGTTAGCCAAACCTTTAGTGCAGGATCCTGCTCAGAGTTTTGGAACCTAGTGATAGTTTTGAAAAGAACTAAATTATGTTTGTATTTTTACAGCCGCCTCCCGAGGTAAAGGAAGAAATAGCAGTCGAAGCGGCAAAACTATCTCCACCCGTGGAACCGGTTCCCCAGGTCAAGTGTGAAGCAGCTGATCCCCCGGCTGAGCAATTGGCATCACCCAAAGTCCAGGCACACACGTCCCCACAGCCGACCTCGCCTGTAACTCAACCCAAAGATGAAACGGAGATCCAAGCTGCAGACCCAGCTACGGAGGGCGTGGTTGAGGATGTTGAACAGAGGAAAAATGAGCAGCCTAACCTGGAGGCGACGGCACAGACTGAGCCCCTTGTTGATGTAGAAAACAAGCGTGAGGGCACGACTGAGGTTTCAGAGGAGGTGGAGACGCACCAGATTCCAGACATTGTTCCCGAAGAAGAGGAGGACGACGAGGTGACTGTGAAAAAGGACGAGCCAGACCCGGAGGGGACCAAGCAAGAGCAGGCAAGAATCCAGGACTGCCGCCCAATGTCGCTGCATAAGTACAGATTAAGTGATCGTAATTTTATTTCATGAGAATATATCCATTGGACGAAAGATTATACCGACTAAAGGAAATTGGTAGCACTGTGTGATGAAACCGCCGGTGAGTTTTGTATTGAATCTCATGGCTCACATGTCTCAACTGGCTCTGAGCCCCACCTTTACTAACTCACACTGACCAGGGTGGTGACGTACGGTCAAACAACTCCCATGGTTGAAATTGATAAAAGGGGGCCTTCATCCAGCATAGGATTGACAAAGGGCTATTAAAGTATTTTTAAACGAGACTTTTTTTTATATTTAGCAGACCACTTAGTTGAGCCCTGAAATTTATTTTTTATAATTGTCTTTTGATATGGATTACATTTTTGTTATGCAAAAACAAAGTAGCTGACACATTTGTGCCAACCGCTAATTGCTTTCCTCGGCTATCGGAGAAAGCTTGGTCTAAGACTACCTTTACCAAGTGAACGATGCTTTTCCAGCCTGCGTTTCCCTAACTCTGTGTGGCTTAAGGTTTAGCGAGCTAAAACAAAGAGGCTTAAAACTTCCTATAAGTGTATTCACCTGGTTATGCGTAAACTTTATGATCGTACGCCATGTTGTGTTGGCACAGGCAGTGCCTTCTGATCCAGCCTCTCCAGCGAGCAGCACCAGCTCCAAGGTACCAAGCGAAGACACTCCGCTGGGCATACGCAGGAAGCCAGGCCGCCCAAGTGAGCTACCATCCCTTACCGCGTGGCGATATACTCCACAACTTTGATCCGTACATTTGCAATCTTTTATCACTGTAGCTTGGAGCTGTAAAAATGCATCAATGGAAATCTATGGATATTAATTCTCGACCCAAACAATACATGCATTAAATTGCTCCACAGCTTTTTAATCATGCAAAGTATAAATATGCATTTTAAAACCCAGTTTCTGAGCACAAGCCCAAAACGTCAGGTGACGTCAGTTAACTTGCACGATCTGACCCACAAATCATTGCTGAATCATTATATTGGTCACTAAAGGCTACGTGTTATATAGTTAATACGTTTCTTGATTTTAGGAAAGTCATAAGAGCTTGGAAAGCTATTGGTCACTCGCATTTTTTTCATTAAGCAAATTTCAAGGATAATGTTTTTTTGCGTTATAATATCAATATAACGCCCATTGACTTATGGGAAATTGATTTATCCTACATTAAATGAATTTTTTTATCATTCTGTTTTTTTTGTTTTCGTTGTTTCTCGGTTTATTTAGTTAAAGCCAGGCTTGTTTAATCCCACCAGGAGATGCTTCTGTTTAAATAACACGGTGCACTTTTGCTGTGACTCTTGACAGTATCAAATCATGTAGATAAGTGCTTAATACTTTTACGTGTGAAAATAGAACATCAGCTTTTAATTCTCTGTATTCTTTTACAGATAAAAGAAGCATGGTCAAAAAGATTGTGAAACTGCAGCAAAAGGTGAACAAAGTTGACAAGCCACACACGCATCGCTTAACTACATTGGGTGTACGTGAATAATGCTACTCTTGCTGTGACGTGGAGTCCACCCCATATTTTTATAATTGCAACGATCTTCTGCTTCTAAAGCCCCGAAGCGCACCATTTACATCAGATTAGGGAGACGTCCCTCACCGACCCGGTCAAGACCTCGCCGCTGCCGTCATCCTGGATACATCAAATTGGCCTTGACTCCTCCCCTGTTGCTGTTATTGAGACTTGGGAACGAGGGCCGACGCAGAGGTCCTCACGGATAAACGTAAAGGACCTCGGCTGTCCAAGCAAAGTGATGATGATGATGATAAATTGATATTGATGATGAATAATGAAATTTGGGGGTGGCTATCACCTGCGCGCAGGAGGTGGGCAGCGAGGCCGGTAGCATCGAGGAGGAGCGTAGCGAGACGGACATTCTGGAGGTGATGGAGCATGGAGCCAGTGAGAGCGAGGACGGCTCCAGCATGCACAACACGCTGCACATGCCCTCCACCAGCCTCACCGACTCGGTGCCCAACAGCCCTGCCTCCTCGCAGTTGTACGTCTCGCTCACTCCCACCATCACCACAGCTCCACACCACTGTAACATTGTTAATTTTTTAGATATTTTCCCCGTAAGTTTATGACATTTGTGCTATCGGTATGGTGTCATGAAATGTAGCATCCGTTCAGATGTCACTCAGAGCAGCGGTGAACCTTTGTGTTAGAGAACGGTCCTTGGAAGCGGATACTATAGAGCTACCTGTGAAATCCATTCAGGTGACCTCTGATACACACAGTAGGAGGCACACTTCTCCTCCTGCTTTGGCACTGAGGGAAATGTTGATTGCATGAGAAACTATATTTTGGGGGGTACTTTACCCAAATCAAATGCAGCACCACATTTATTGTGTTAGTGTTTTTGTGTGCAGTCATCGCTCCCCTGGCTGAGAGCATCAACGTTCTATATTTAAGAACCTGGTTTTAATAACAGGTGGCTTCCTGGATTTGAACGCAGAATTTTATTTTTGTGAGCTCAATGTTTCTTCCTCTTTCTAGTCACTCAGCCACCTGTGGGTGAAATTTCAATTATTACATTCCCACTGTTAAAATATACGCACTTTCAACACACACGGATTTAACTAATTTGATGAGCGTAGTTTCTAGGAGTGGTCAGGAGCTTGTTGCGATGCAGAAATCTCTAAAATTCAGCTTAACCTCTTTCGGGTTCCAGCCCAGGGCCTTGATGCCATCGTCTGGAGTGCTTCCACAACCACGTCGCTTCTGAGCCTGGCAACGAACTCCTGACTGCTCTTGGGAGCCACTATCATCATGTAATTCATGCCATGCTAAGTACGGTTTACATATTTAACTTAGTAAATCAGTGTTTTGGGCTGCATGGACGATTCTACAGCAGATTTAATCGGTGGTAATGTTGTAAATTACCTTAACCGACCGGCAATGATCAGCTCAGTAATGTCTGGCCAAACAACTCCCATGATATGGGGGAGGCCTTTATCCTGCAGTGGATGAACAAAGAGGGCTGTAAATGATCCAATTCACATCATTCTTTTGTTGCTATTTGTTATTGTTTTTTTAATGGACACATTAAGACCTTAAAGAATACAGCTTGTTTAATGTTACTATTTTATAACAGGAGGATGTACAGTAAAACCTTGGATTGCGAGTAACTTGGTCTGCGAGTGTTTTGCAAGACGAGCAATTTTTTAAAATAAATATTAATTTGATAAACGAGCGAGGTCTTGCAATACGAGTAGTACGTGTATACGCTTTGTCTGCCGAGCGCCACGTGATCACAACTGATATACGAGTGCTTTTATATACGAGTGCTTTGGATTACAAGCACGTTTCCGGAACGAATTATGCTCGCAATCCAAGGTTTTACTGTATATTCATCTTTATGGAAAAAAAACACATTTGCCTTGTACAAAGCCTTGGTCCTTTCTGGGAGAATATCGAGATGTTTAGATGACATGGTCTTCGTTTCTTTCTGCTGACGCATCGTGACGTGCTTGTTATTTTGTTTAGCTCCATTGGCAGTGAAGATCCAGAAGCACTCCAAGCTCAGAAAATTTGGAAAAAGTCCATCATGCTGGTTTGGCGGGCAGCGGCCAACCACAAGTAAGTGTGCTTATCAAAACAATTATGTTTAATCAACTTTCTAAGCATGTGCTCATTTTCCAATATAGTTGTGGGCTGTGTCCTATGAATATCTTTACATATCTTGCACCTACAAAATGATGCATCGACGATTTTTATTTTGACTCTCAATGTGTCCTTTTTTTCAGGTATGCCAACGTTTTCTTACAACCGGTGACCAACGACATTGCCCCTGGCTATCACTCCATAGTCCACAGGTGCGCTTGCACATGTTTTGAAAAGCAGATTGTACCCGAATAAAATTGCTGCTGAATTAGCATCATATATATCCTCTCGCATCACATTTCTCACAAAGCCATCAAACGCATTTTCTGTTTACAAATGTCTTCAAATGCTTATTCCAACATGAGTTTTGCTCGCATTTGAATACATACTCGTCCGTGCAATGTTCTAAATTATTTTCACATGATGGACTGCACCCCCCAGGCCTATGGACCTGTCGACCATCAAGAAGAACATTGAAAATGGCGCAATCCGCACCACGGCCGAGTTCCAGCGTGACGTCATGCTCATGTTCCAGAACGCCATAATGTACAACAGCTCGGACCACGACGTGTTTCACATGGCCGTGGAGATGCAGCGGGATGTCATGGAGCATGTGCAGGTAGTGACGCGCGACCGGCTCGTCCGCTGCGTGCGGTGGGTTCGCGTACAGCTGGAGGAAACAAAATGTGTAAAGATCACACAAAATCTGCCAGTGTATTGAGTTCAAGGCATTGTTTATAAATGGGATGTTTGTATTTTTATGGATTGATGGTCTCTTTTAAGTCCATCTTTTGTTGCAGCATTAGGTTTGTTATAAAAACTGCTAAATATCCATTCTCACTTTTTTTCGAGCAGCAATTCCTGGCGACCCAGCTGATTATGCAGACGTCAGAATCGAGTGTGGGCGCTAAGGTTCTGCGGGGTCGAGACCCAGCCAAGAAGCAAGAGTCCCTGGAGAAGGTATGCATGAGTGTGATCGCAAACATCTGACGAATCCTTGAATGAAAAATAATCCTGTTGCCAAACATGTTTTTCCTCAGACAGCAGCATTTTTTCTTTTGAACGTTTCAAAATTCGTAGCGACAAACACTCAATTGTGCCTTTGTTTTCACCACCACTTTTTATGTTGCCTTCATGAAATGCTCCTTTGCAGCCAAATGCATGTGCGCCCTGGAAGTCTGGGTTGTAAAATATAAGGGCAGCTGAGTGAGCGGATGGACCCATGGCTGGTGCTGGGGGGACGGACAGGCGTGGAGTGTGTGTGTGTTGTGAGCTTGTGCGAGATCGACAGCTTGTGCGTGTGTCTGGATATCGATGCGCTAAGCGTGGGTTGTGTGTGTCGCACACAGGTGCATGCGCAGACACTGTCTCACAGGTTTGCCGTCTCGCGAGCGTCGGCTTTCTCCATGACCAGTAGCAGGGGTGGCAGTCTGACGCAACCACATGTTTGTAATTATGCACGATCAAATACAATGCATTTTTTGTGCTTCGATTTTTCGCTTCAGTTTCTTAATTCTCTTGGTTTTTTTGCTTTGCAATTAAGCTACGCATCATGGAGTTGCAAATTAAATGTAACTCGCCGTCTTTGCCTTAACATAACCGAAAGCCGGAAAAAAATGCTTTGTCAAGTCTTGAATGATTCCAATAATTCTCTCATTCCCTTCTCCTTGGCGTTGCAGCAATATATTCTGAAATGCTTGAGGCACAAGCTGCTGGAGCAAAGATTTTAATTCATGTTTTTTTACCTAACATTATACCAACTTTGCTGGACGTCCTATAAAATATTGTCGTTTTTTTCGTCACAGGACATCCTCAGTATGGGCTCTCCTGCATTCCTGCTGTCCTTATTTGTAAGTATGCACCTGTGTTCACGATAATCTGTTAGTCACTGTGTGTGTGAGCATGCAATGTGTGCATGCTTATGGGCTTTTATCATCAGCCCCACTAAAACAAAGTACTTACCTGGGTATTTGATGGCCTCAAATACTTTTCCCCTTCAACTCTCCATGTGAAGAGAATGGAGGCGTTTCTAGTCCTGGACTGTGTGTTTATATGACCAGCTCTAGTCGAGTGACATTTCTTTTCAACGCTGTGTGGCAGCTACCTGGCCTATTTCTGCATACAAAGCTATAAGTATTTTTGGCCACTGGTTACGAAACATGGACCCTTTTAAAGGAACATCTGCATTGGTTTGAAATATTGTGGCTGACCTACCTATGATCCCTTTTCGGTTCAACCAGACTTGATTTGTGTGAGGAGCTTCCAGATCTTGAAAAGATTTAGCCACAGTCCCATTAATGAGCTCTGGCAGGCAAGGCTTCATTGGCTGGGTCATGAAGCCCACATGCTCAGCTATTGGCTGCCCACGCAGCTTCTGTTTGGCCAGATTGAGCGGGCTAAACAGGCATGGCTCAGGCTAGAGAAGAGATGGGCTGACTTGTTACAAAAGAATGTGGAGCTGATTGGACTGGCTGATAATCAACCTCTGGAGGAGGCTTGTGAAGGGTGCAATTAGGTAGTTGGAGGCAATTGCCTTCCAACAACAATGGAGGACAGAGGAGCAACACTCACAGCAACGAGCAGAGCACCGGGTGGCAAAGGCACAGGAAGTTATCACACTGGGAAGCACAGGTGGTGCATCTTTGGTCATCTCAATCCGTTAACCCATAACGGGTCTATCCCATGACCTGCCAGTGAGCCTTTCAGACTTCATGTGGTCCCTAAGTGCATCTAGCCTGGCGCAAGCATAGTGATAGCGTCACCACCAATTAATGGTGAAAGGCGGCTTATTGTATCGATATATACTGTATTTGAGAGTAGGCCTCGGCAAGATAAGGTAAAAGGTAAAAACAACGAGCCTACCTTTACCACCCTACCTTTTACCTTACCACAATATAATCACTCTACCCTTACCTTTTACCCTTTAGCAAGGTAAGGTAAAAGGTCAAAAGCAACGAGCCTACCTTTACCCTACCTGTTACAAATTACCCGATTACAGGGTAATTACTGGGGTACTACACATGAAAAAAGGTTTATAACAGGTAAATGTTAGGTAGAGCGCTTTATTCATATAGAATACTCTCAATGATTTCAATTTTAAATGGAGGCCACGGACTGCGCCACGGAGCTTTTAGCGAGCGGTAAACAAGGTATTTACCGGGTAATACTTCGCGCTACATTTACCCTACCCTTTACCTTACCCCTTGGCATGTCGACACTTTTTTACCCTTTTACCGGGTAAAAAGGGTATATTACCTTACCTTGCCGAGAACAATTTGAGAGTGATTGTGTGTTGTGCTTAAGTATATTTTGTATGAGTGTGATATTATGCTTTTTGTTTTGTACGGCACTTTTAAAAGCGAGAGTGTTACACCGCACAAGTGGTGTTTGCAAAGGTAATACTTGACCTTTGCCAATGACTCTCTGTCCAGGATGTGGGCACGAGGGGGCGGCGGTCTGCCATTGAGGCTGACATGAAGATGAAGAAGTAGGGAAGGATGCTCGTCACTGTTTTACCCGCAGCTGGTGGATGTTCATCACCAGGCCATCACGAAAAGGACAAAGGCCAAGTTCTCACTTAGTTTCCTCTATCGTATGTGTACGGCCTTGGCAACGGTTAGCCACTTGGTCTTGAAACTTAATTTTAGCCCACTAGGTTTTAACCCGTGAGGAAAAATCTGCATTGTAGGTTCAAATTGTTCACAGATAATTGTAAATTGTCAGAGCTGTGGAGCAACCATTCATCGCAAACATTCATCGCAAACATCTTTGACTAATAATTCTATGCGTATTGTTCATTACATACTGATTGACATTACAATATTACAAATTAGCAAAGTTACATTTCCCACATGATATTTTCAACAGCATCAACATTTGATTAAATTCTGTATCCATTGGTAGGTATCAGACAAATGTACTTGTGACAGTTCAACTATAATAGATACATGTTTTAAGCCACTGACTGGCTGTATTCCCAATGCTTTGTTAAGCTGGATAGTGCTCTAAATATGTAACCACAAGACCATAATGTTATCTTGAATGTTACCACAGTCATTAATCATTGTCACAACGTAGCTGGAGATGCTCGCGTTCATTTTGGCATGCAGATATTTTACGATGTGTTTTCTCCGCCCCTTTTGAGTATCGGCCAGGGGAAAGGGAGAATGTATATTTTGTTTCATGTTAACGAGCACTGCCCTCGCATTTGCGCCGGATTCACAGCCCGGGGTCGAGCTTGGGTTGTATGACGTCAGTACGCACCAACCACGCTCGACGCTGTGGGATGATGGTGATGCCCCCACCCCCACGTGCCAGCCAGCGATTTTTTTTGTTATTTCTAATATCGTATGATGTATTGTAGTTTTAAGGTTTTGTACAGAACATGTTTTTTTTAAGTCTTACATTTGGAGAGGACCATTAGAAGAGAGACAAGGCTGTGATGTTGAGATGCTTATATTGTTGAAATGGTGTAAATTTGTTTTGTGTTTATTTGAAAAATGTATATGCTTAATGTGTACTGAACGTTGGATAAAATAAATGTTGCATTCTAATGTGTGTGTTGAATAACTTCATTGGTAACACTTTGCATATTGGCGTGCTTATTGGTTATAAAAATTGAGCCAGAAAGTATATTCTTTGTTTTTAGATTTTCTAAAACCTGTGGATAGATTGTGTCCATTTGATATTTATGCTAGGTGAAGGCCCCCATTTGACCTTGATATTCATTACCTCTCTTGCAGTGGAGTATGTTTTACCCTCGTTTACAAGTTGGTTAATGTCTACAAATATTTGGTCTACATTTGCATGGTTTCTTCAACGGAGCACTGCTTTGCTGACAATAAGTAACGAGAGTGGACAGATGCACCCATGTTTTGATCCCCAGCAGTTGGTGAGACAGAAATGTATATTCACCGACCTGTCCTGAACAGCATGGTAAGTAAAATTTGTTGACCTAAAGCATTCGTGACGACAGAAATTCTTATTCTTGGGTCTACGTGACTACCGAAAGACTTAAGAATATAAGTAAAATATGGTCAAACACCACCCATGGCCAACAAACCATAGCCATCAGACACCAGCAGCTCTGGATCACCAGTCATGGCACTCGCTGCAAGGTGAAAGTGGAGGGGATGTTTAAATAATGCTGTTTAACAAGAAGATGCCTTTGGATTAGATGATTGCTCATACAGCACAGTAACTGTGGTGAATCAATCTTTGTTGATTTGGGTACAGTATTGAGTGTAATGCATTGAAATATTTGGACTCTGAGGTAAGCAGAGGGTAACTTTTTCATAAATCCCGAACTGCAATACAACTTTCCATGTAATACATCAGAACGAATTTACAACACTTTAAACTTTAGTTTGAAATTTAAAAATACACAACTTATTTACAGAGTAGGAACTGCCATTAAGTTGGTGATGATACAAAAATTAGCCTAGCAAGCAAACTGTGATCTCTCCCAGGCTATTCACAGAAACAAGATATTTTACAGAAAAGTTTCATAAATATAGGGATTCACCGTGTGTTTATGACAATCATAATTTATCAACCTTTTCAATCTATGCCAATTATCCACGATGGCATGGCTCAAATCACTCGGACGGCGACAAGACAATGGAGGTATGATAATAGGTTTTCCCCCTTTTGTTCTGGCAACAAAACAGGTGTTAAGATGTTAAAACTCCAAACTGAGACCTTTAACAGGAATCATGTCTGCATTAACCACTGCGTGTGAGCAGAATGCAAACAACAAACATCCTCTGATAATATATGCATTGTCTTTGAAACTAATTGGTCCACACCAGAGACAGCTTTCTTTTTAGCCTCGTCTCAAACGGTGTTAGACCAGAGGACGCCAAAAGGCGTAGAGCCCAAAGACAATGCACAACAAGTTGATTAAAAGTAAAGCATTGACATTCATTGGGCAAAGATATGAGCGTTATGTCAAAACAAAATCTCGTTAAGAGTATCTGTTTTGGCCATTGGTCAAGGCTGGATGTTCCCTTTTACATTGAGCCCAGAGGGAAAGTAAAAAAACTTCACACAAAAGGGTGATTAAAATTAACCCTTGAAATTAATTGAGCAAAGACATGGACGTTATATTTTTTTATCAAGTAAAATTCTCTGGTTTGGGCCACTGGTCAAAGCTGGAGTGGCTGGAGGTTCCCTTTCACATTGAGCCCAGAGGGAAGGGCACACAAATAAACAAACTAAACACCAAAAGGTAATCCAAGTACATTTTTACATTAATTAAGCAAAGACGTGGACGTTATTTAAAAACAAATTCAAGTAAAAAATGTACTTGTTGTTGGCCACTGGTAAAAGCTGGAGTGGTTGGAGGGTTTCTAACACATTGAACACAGAGGGAGAGCAAAACATAAATACAAAACGGTGATTAAAAAAATAACAACCTTTGACATAAATTGAGCAAAGACATGGACGTAATCTTTTTTTTAAGTCTCGTAAAAAAATGTATCTGTTTTTGCCCACGGATTAAAGCTGAAGTGGTTCAAAAAGTCTTGTACAATTTTTTAAAATCTTTTTTTGACCACGGATTTAAGCTAAAGTGGTTGAAAAAGTCTCGTAAATTTTTTTAATGTTTTTGACCACGGATTAAATCTGAAGGGGTTGAAAAAGTCTCGTAAAAAAAATTTTAATCTGTTTTTGACCACGGATTAAATCTGAAGGGGTTGAAAAAGTCTCGTAAAAAAATTTTTATCTGTTTTTGACCACGGATTAAAGCTAAAGTGGTTGAAAAAGTCTCGTAAAAAAATTTTAATCAGTTTTTCACCACAGATTAAATCTGAAGGGGTTGAAAAAGTCTGGTAAAAAAAAATTCATCTGTTTTTGACCACGGATTAAAGCTAAAGTGGTTGAAAAAGTCTCGTAAAAAAATTTTAGTCTGTTTTTGACCACGGATTAAATCTGAAGGGGTTGAAAAAGTCTCGTAAAAAAAATTGTAATCTTTTTTTGACCACGGATCAAAGCTAAAGTGGTTGAAAAAGTCTCGTAAAATTTTTTAAATCTGTTTTTGACCACGGATTAAAGCTAAAGTGGTTGAAAAAGTCTCGTAAAAATTTTTTAATCAGTTTTTGACCACGGATTAAATCTGAAGGGGTTGAAAAAGTCTCGTAAAAAAACATTTTTATCTGTTTTTGTCCACGGGTCAAAGCTGCCTGGAGTGGCTGCCAGGCTCCCTTTGACTCCGAGCCCAGAGGGCGCCGTACTGAGAGGGGGTGGGGGGCAGTCGAGAGGCGCTTCCCAACTGCGTGCGCGGGCTTGGTCGACTCTCATCCACCGCTCATCACCACCACCCCATTCCTAACCAAATCGTGTCCCCAACACCATCTCTGTCTCTCTCTCGCCACCACCAAGCCTCCTCCTTCACGCTGGACCGCGCCAAACAGAAGTTCGTGCAGCAGAAGCTGAAGTCTCGGCGAGAAATTCGCGAGGCGAAGGCGAAAATGTTCAGCAAGCTCACCACCATCTTACAACATGCCGTGGAAGTCGTGAGTCTCATCTCGTCGCCACTTGTTCCCTCGGTCACTCGCCCGCGCGCCGGCTCTTGTCGGCGAATTCGCGGTTATTGTTTTATTGTCCAAGTTAAATTATAGTCGCCGGGAATGCCACCAACACCGCCACCCCCCCGAGGGGTTTTGCGGCCTAGCACCGGTGTGGGATTGTCTGCTCGGCCGGGAGACGATGCGCCGTCCTCGGTTGCGGCTGCTAGCCGACGCCGATGTCTGGTAGGCCGCTACCGGGAGTAAAGGGGCTTTGAAGCCACGTAAGCTTTTGTCAGATGTCAATTTAGTTTTATGTGTTTAAATATATATATTATATTTCCATCGTATTTAAAGCAATGTGTCTATTGTAGATAAGAGAATGTTGTAGTTTACAGTTGTGTCTTGCGGTAATTTCGCGAGATCGTCGTGATCGTTGTATGCGGTTCGCTGTGGGTCGTTACCGTGGCCCCCTTTGTTTATGTTTAATATCAATAATCTTTGTTAATCTCTTCTCTCTCGCTTAGCTCGCCCCCAACATGCCCCGTCAAGAGGACTTCGTGTACCACTGGAAAGCGATTACGCACTATTACATCGAAACCTCGGGTCAGAATTCACTGTTTATTGTCTGAATTTTTTTTTGTAACATAACGTCACACTTGTACAATATTCCGTGTACGAGTGAGGATATTTGCTCTCGTAAAGCTGTTATATTCACGCGCATGACCACCGATTTTTTTCTTCGTTCACTCGTAGTGTTGTGTTTTTTGTTATTGTTTCAAAAGTTATGCCAAATCCAAAAGTGCAGCCGTATTTTTTGGCAAGTAAGTTTGGGACGTAACTCCCAAAGTGGCAAGCAACGTGGCATTTTGGTATGCATTGCCATAATCGGTGAAAATATAACATGTGCCTTAAGTGTTACCAGGTACTTAATGGGAATAGTCATGCGCTATATTTACCAAGGAAAACCTCACGGAGTAATTTCTGACTTGGGAGGTTCCCGCATGGGCATGTTTGGCCAATTCAATTAATGAGTGGAATGTGCCAGAAAACCTACATTGTAAAACCGCGCATGAGTAATTCAAGTCAAAGGTGGAGGTGACGCTCAAGGCTCCACGCAAATAATTCAAGAATCGATTACTGTAATCCCATCTCTTGGCCATATTGCATCCCAAGCTGACAACATAAGGCATTTTAAGACAGTCTCCTACCCCAGTATTAACCAGGCCTAATTGTGCTTAGCTTCTAACAAGATCAGGAACAGTCAGGGTCCTTCAGTCATGGGCATTCGGCGCAAGTGGAGTGCTGTCTAGGATTATGGATTTTACCTATTTTGCAAGACATTCATGTGGTTCTGTTTGTGTTGTTTTATAAATGCCTCATTTGATTTCTAAGCAAGTACAGTAAACTATTGCTCATGCACATCGAATGTAAATGTAGATAATGTTTTTGTTTCCAAATTAAAGGACGAGGCGTGCTTCCAACAACAATGTACGTTGCATAATGCATCTCCGTTGGACCCCTTTCATTTTTGCGCAGATGACAAGGCCCCCGTAACGGACACAAACATCCCGTCGCACCTGGAGCAAATGGTGTCCATCCTGGCGGAGGAGGAGACGGAGCGGGAGACGGGCGAGACTGGGACCCTGCATGGAGTACCTGCTGCAGCACAAGATCCTGGAGACACTCTTCACCTTGAGCCGCGCCGACGTCAGTGTTCACCCGTCACTTTAATTACTAAATACCTTATATGAGGTCGCGCTCATTGTGTAATACACACAAAGTGCTCGCCTCAAATGAAGCACGTTACTTCGGTGAGCATTCCAAGGAGCATAAACCATCACGCGGACTCCGGTCATCCTCGCAGTGGATTTTGGTTAGCCATCGAACAAAGACGGTCACCGCATCGCGCACTTTCAGATGCGCTTCTGCGGCCGTCTGGAACGCTCTTCCTTACGATATAAGAAAGCCACTGGAGCTATGCACTTTTAAATAATCTAGATTGAAAACTCATTTCTTTAGAACTGCCGTTTAGGTGTCCT